AAAAAAAAAACTTCTGATGGTGTTTTCTTGCCGGTTTGTATTTTAAGGTCGTGCTATGATGCATTTACGGAAAACATGGCAGGAGAGAGCCAGCTGTTGGAGAGGAGGAGACAGTATCACTGCGCAGCATATAATTGTGCTATTGCTGTTATCAGTTGTGTCTTCACGGAAAGTAAATTTTATCAAGGCTTTCTTTTTACAGAAAAATCAGAAAAGGTGAGAAGTGTTGCTGCTGTTAGAAAGCTTCCAGAGCTTGAGACACAAAGTGATTTTACATTATTGCAATAAATCAAAGAATCAATCCTGAATGACAGGCCATTATATTAACAAACTACCCAGTGAGGCAATAGGAGGTGTCGTAGCTGACTCTCCTGCATCCTTTCATGCATTGAATTGCTGATGTTGGGAATGGGTGAAGTAGCAATACATTTACCCTGTTTTCCCTCCACTCTCAATCAGTTCTCTAAAATATGAGAACAAAACCTGTTGTTGAAGTTCTCCAGTACTTGGAATATACTTGAATAAGAGATGCCCTATTTACAGAGCACATTATCTGTGCTGTGAATTCTGGAGTAGATGAATAGCAAAATTTTCTTAAAAGTGGTGATCTAGAAGGTAAAACATGCAGTGTTTTCTATATTGTACATTGATCTGTTGTTTTTTAAGAAGGAATAAGATACATTCAGAGCAGTTGTTATTGTGTGCAGCATTATAATTTTGTTATTTCCAAACGTGCTTTGATTTGCAGAACTTGCTGATTTTTGAAAATTTGATAGACCTGAAGCGTCAGTATACATTTCCTGTAGAAATTGAGGTGAGTGGAATTTCTGGGCTTCTGTGTTCCAAGGTAAAAATTGTGTGTGGCTTTAACAGTGTGGTCACTGTAGAGCAGGTAAATTCTCACATACAGGGAAAGATGAAAGAGGATTCTGTAGTGAATAAAAAATGGAGTACTCTTAATGTTTTAAAATACTTTTTTCTGAGAGAAATCCAGACTGGAAATTTAGAACACAGCTGCGGTGCCTGTAACTTACGTGTATTTTTAGCACAATTACCCCGGTAATGAATGGCTGTAGGAATAAGTAATTTAGCTGTTGTTCTCTAGCATTGATTATAATCATTTATGACATGAGATTTCTGTTCATGTTAAATGGTTTTTATCATTTTTTGGCAGTTCTGTAAATAAATAACTACTAATAAACTGTAATTAATTTTCACACTTTGTTTCTCGCTGTTTAGGTGCCCCTGGAAAGGAAGAAGCGGTACATTGCTATTAGAAAGGAGGCCAGGGATGCAGGGAATAGCAAGCAGGGTATGAAAGTCCTCTATGACTACAAAAAAAGTGCCTTCTTACCTTTCATACAGTGTTCGTTGATGTGTTGCTAATTGGCTTCTACAGTAGTAGGAACAGATAAAAGCATTCAATATACTTCATCTGACAACCAATCCCCACCACCCTCAACTTTTGGTGGCCAATAAAGGCTTATTTCTTGTAATTGCCTTGATTAATGGTCTATTCTTTTTCCTATTTAGATGAACCCAAGTATTTAGCTTCTGCATCGTACATGATGGATAGCAGTTTGAGTGAGGAAATGAGTCAGTTTGATTTTTCTACTGGAGTCCAAGGTTTTTCTTACAGCTCCCAAGACGTTGCAGCTAGTGGTGCTCGTTTCAGGAGAAAGGTAATTTAGTGACTTATGTGCTGTGAGGAAGAAAAGTTTTGTGGTTTCTAGCAGTCGCATACGTTTATTGGAGTTGAGAAAGAGAAATTTGTGGTCTCCTAAATTTGTTCTACTTGACTGAGAAAAGGTTCCTCCAGAAGAAGATGAGGGGACTTGAGCGGTGTTCTGTTGGTCATTTTTCTGCTTCCTTCTCTCCACCATCTACGGCTGGAGAAAAGCAATGCCCTACCTTGGGTTTCTAAAGTCATAGGAGTGAAGTCCAGCCTGAGTTGTAACAAGGTGGCTTGTGACCGTGTGCTCTCAGGAGTATCCTGTGATGGTTCTGTTTTGCTGTTAGGCACCTGGTTTCCTCATTTCCCTCTTCTTTTGGACTTCAAAGGCACTTGACCAAGCTGGTTGTATCAAATGCATGGAATAAATAATTAAACAGTATTATTTTTATAGCTCTGTTGTGGCACTTTGTATGTAACCGTTGCTCTTGAACACCATTTAATATCTTCCAAGACTTGAAGTTGTGTTCCTTCTGGAGTCAAGAGATGTCTCATCAACAATAATACTGATTGGATAGATATTTGCTATAAAACAGAAAGAAAGCTTGTAAGGGTATTACAGACACTGAAGATGAAATCTGTCAAAATAACTGTTAACATTAGTAAAGATAAACTGTTTCCATGTTTTAGAGCAAGGAGGTATTTTAGCTGCAGTGAGGTTAACCAGAAAAGTACTTTCAATCTGCTTTGTGTAGTAATGTAATTTCTAACTACAAACAATTTTCTTTTGTGGTTTACTCTGTGTAGCAAAAGAGAGAGCTGCTGTGTTTGCTAGTCAGTGTGAAAACTCATCCATAAAAATAGGGCTTTTCCCCCGAGGAAGGTGTTAACGCATTCTTTCACCTATTAAACGAAATAATTTCTGTGAGGTTCAGGTAATTCTTCCTGCTTCCAGCAGTTGCCACACCTATCCTGGCAGGTAGTAAAGTCAAAGTAACATGAAGTTGACATCTGTTGGCCCAGAAAGTAAAAGGTGCTCGCAGCTGGTGCTTGTGTTTGGGAGGTGTCTGTTTGAACAGCGCGTTTGGTATAGTCCCTGTTGGGCACACTGAGCGTGTACTCACATCTGTAAGTACAGATAAGATCAGAATGACTCACGGCGTTATCACGATTTAAAAGAAAATACAGTGTTGTTATTAATCATAGTAACACGTTTTTCAGGAGCCCACAGAATACATGGTTTTAAACGATGAAATGGAACTGGAAATGGATGAACTCAACCAACATGAATGCATGGCTTCTATGACCACTCTGATTAAACATATGCAGAGGAACCAGATCACACCCAAAGTGGAGGAGGCCAGTATTGACCAAAAAGTTGGCATTTTTTCACTAATCATACCAAGCTGGGGGCTTTTTGGCTTGGTAAACCTATTTGGTCCAAGGTGTGAGTTGATTTTTTGCTTATCTCTTAAATTTCAGGGGACAGTTCCAGTAGATCTTCCTCTTTGGATGAAGTTTCTGCATGGCAAATTGGGAAACCCATCAGTACCGCTAAATATTCGCCTCTTCATAGCGAAACTTATTGTTAATACCGAGGATGTGAGTAACTTTTTTGTTACATTTTTCCTGTTAACATAACAGGTTATATTGTAGTATCAACTGTGTAACTCTTGCAGGATAAGATGAGACTTTTGGGGCATTCAAATTGAGTAGTTTGCCATTATAAGAGGGAGTGCATTCATAGCCCAAAATTCCAGATAGTGCCAGCATTTTGAATGAAATACAGCTACTTTTTCTCCCAAACTCTATTTCTGTAAGTAGAGAGTGTCCAACGATATGTGTCTTCTGTAAACTGTAAGTAATTGATCATTAATACTGGGCAAGAGGTATGGCTGATTATCTTTGCCGTCTTTGCAGGAGAATATATAAATTTTTTTAGTGGTCACAGGTGAGGCTTATGGAAACTGTTAGAGCTAAATGATGTTCTGGTTGCAGAAAGATGTTCAGAAAGCGTATTTTGTCTTTGCCTGAGAAGAAATGTTTTCTAGCTCTCATTCTTGGGTAAAGCGTTCTCTTCCTATTCCATACAGTGATTTTAAAGTACAATGTTTCTGTTTGAAATATTCCAAATCCAAAATGCAAAATGGCTGAATTTCAGAATGAATTCAGAAGCTTTATACCCACTTAATGCTACTTTCTTAGTAAAGCTGCCTGAAACGGAAGGGTAGATGAGTGGCGTACTCTTTCAAATCCTTTAGGGACACGTTTTCTGTGTGAGACCCATATTATGTGGGCCCTAGTGAAATAATTAACTTTTTGTGAATACTTGGTTAAAGGTTTCTAAGCGGAAGTGAGGAATGTAGTTGTGGGTACCTGTTATTTTAAATTCTTTGTGGTCATTGCTTCAGAGATTAAGGAAAGTGAGAAGAGGTTGATCTAGGAGTCTTACATGTAATGATACTGAACAACAAGTTGTTGAATAATTGGATAATTTGTACTTAATCACTGATTCTCCTGTTTTCTGTAGGTTTTCCGGCCTTACGCAAAACAGTGGCTTGGTCCATTGCTGCAGCTTGTTGTTTCTGGGAATAATGGAGGTGAAGGGATTCATTACATGGTAGTGGAAATAGTAGTTACTATCCTTTCCTGGACAAGTGTAACCACTCCCAAAGTAAGCATGTGTGAAATTAATTTTTATTATTATTGTGACTATTTGGTAAGGAATGACTGAGTTTGTTATTATGCACTTATAATAATTTTCTACATCAGTCCGCTGTTTCTTTTAGATATTGACCTCAAAAATAGCTCATTTACTTGCTTTCATAAGACAATATATGGCTTCATGTTGGAGTCTCTATGTTTATTTTGCTCCTGTTCATTGTAGGGGAATATTAAGGATGAGATTTTAGCTAACAGATTGCTTGAATTCTTGATGAAGAATGCCTTTCACCAAAAAAGAGCTGTGTTCAGACACAATCTGGAAATCATAAAGACAGTTATAGAGTGTTGGAAGAACTGTCTCTCCATACCTTACAGGTAAGCATTTAGACAATTGCTTTCTTTTGTCGATATTTCAAGAATGTAAGCGAACCTTATCAAAGGAGGTGAAAAGGTAAATTCAGATGCAAGAGTAAACTTCTTGTCCCTAGAGCTGACAGTAGAACTTCAGAACTGAACTCTCCAAAGGTTGTAACTTAATTTGCAAAATGAGAGACAGGGAAAACATGTAGAGGATTGCAACAACAAAAGCAGGAGTAATCTCTGCGAAGACGTACGTTTTATTTGAAATTTTGAGTGTCATCACTGAATATTAGTGCGGTCTTAGTAAGACTTCTGCGCTTCAGAACTTATGGCAGAGAACTTATGTGGGCTTACAATCTCTTTTTAGTGGGTGGTTTGGGTTTTTTTGCAAAGACTTCATCGAAGCTAGATACTTCTTTCTGAATATATGCTTTCTGCTGGTTTTGGTGGGGTTATAGGTGTGTATATATCTGTATATACAGAGAGAGTGAGGGATTTATGGTGTGTGTATTTTGTGTTTTTCATGTATATCATTACTTTTATGTTTTTATCGAACAGTTTAATATTTGAAAAGTTTTCTAGTGGAGACCCAGACACAAAGGACAATTCAGTGGGAATTCAGCTGCTGGGAATTGTTCTTGCTAACAATTTACCTCCCTTTGACCCAAAATGTGAAGTAGATCGTGTCAGGTGAGAGATGCAGCTTTTTGGTGAATTATTTTGATAGAAGCTTAAGACAAAGAGAGCAAGTCTAACTTACCAGCATGAAGTATGGGAGCTGGGTTGCTCGTTTGGAATTTTGTCCCATCATCCCTTTGCTATTGTCTGTCAGGTGTAATGGTTTTCTGGCTGCCAACTGCAGACCACGTTCATTTGGGAAAATATCTAGAAGGGTGTAGTGGGCCCCAGGGTTGCAGCTTCATGGGAGGTGATAGTCAGGAGTTGCCAAAGCGGGACTTTGAGACACTGCAGGTGGAAAATCCATGTTACACTGTATTCAGCTCTTCTAAAAGCAGTCACTGTTCCCCTAGGCAGCTCGGGTGAGATTTTTGTTTCAGTTTAAAACTGGATGCTGGAGTTCTGGCTTACAGCAGGTCTGCTTTTCATGTTAGGTATTTTCAGGCTTTGACCAGCAACATGGGCTTATTAAAGTATAAAGAAGTTTATGCAGCTGCAGCGGAAGTGTTGGGACTTGCTCTTCGATACATTGCTGAGAGAGAAAATGTAAGTGAACTGTGGTGTGTGTTTGACCATTCCTGTCTTAATTCTGTATACATGTTTTATATGACTACTCAATTCAGCTCCAAAAATGAATCTATTTAAAAGTCAGCAGTATTTGTCCAACAGATCAAGTTAAAGGTTTAAACTATTAACTCAAAAGTATTTGAGAGCTGACTAAGTGCAGAGTTCTTGGCCTGACAGTGTTTTGGGGCTGACAGTGAGTGGCCTCTTTCTGAGGCTTTGTTCAGCTTTTGGCAACCAGCAACACTGGCATGGTACATTTAAAGTTCAGGGTTTTTTTAAAGGAAAAAAAAAAAAAATCCCGAACTGTGAGGTTTGGGATTACCTTTTGAATATCTGTATTTGAGGATGTTTTATCGTTTGCAAGTGTTTTGATGTAAAATTTGGAAGTATTTTATTAGTTTTTAATCCAGTTATTTTCTAGGTAGTGGATAAGGTGAATGCAAACCTGTTACTTACCAAATCCTACAGTACTAGAACTAGGGAGTAGTGCTTGATGATCATGGAAATCGGTTTGAGACAGATGCTAGAAGAAGTACTTTACACAACAGTTAGTAAACTTCTGCATTTGGTTGCTAGAAGAGGTTCTAGGGGTAAGTAGCATCAACAGGTTCAAAGATAAATTAGGCAAATTAATGCACAGAAAGAATCCCATGAGCAGGTTCTAGAAACAATAGACAGCAATGTACACTGTTAAGATCCCTACTCTAGTAGCGGATGCATGTTGGGAAAAGGAGGAGAAAATGCAGCCAGGCTCATGTGCTCCCCCTAAATACCATTCTGCAGCTGCTACTGGGGACAAAAATACCGAGATACTGGCTAGGTGGATTATGAGTCTGACCTTGTAAGTTATTCTTACTTCTCTCCCTACTATTCTTTCTTCTTTCCTCTCTTAATTGTATTCTGGTTGTTCTTTCACAGTTTGTAGAGCATATTTCACAAATTGAATTCCTGCAGTCTTCTCTTTCACAGTCATCCAAGCAGTCTTTTGAGTAAATGAGCAAAGATGGTGCCAATATTTTATCCTATACAGGGGTTATTTTTTGTCATTAAGTGAAGTTTGCTGATGATTTTTCACGTTTTCACTAAAAACGTCTATTTTTATACATTCATTAATTGGAACTCTGCCATACCACGTGAGAAGCTACTTATTACTTGTATAAGCACACTGAGCAGCTTGTATTTCAAAATTAAGGCGTTGGTTCCAACCCAGTCAAAGGGAGCTCACAAACGTATTGTTGAAGCAGGCAATCGGGTGTTTCAGCCAGGCATAGCTGTACAGCAGCCATGAAGCACCATAAATGTCAAGATGAGGTGGGTGGATCTTATGTAGAGAAACGCACTGGAATCAAACAGTACAGCAGCAGAACTACGTGTCATTGAGGTGGTGTGAGTTTCATGGCTATGCTTGTCCTATTGTCCTTCTCATTTTCAGGTACTTGAAGATCCAGTTTATGATTGTGTCGTAAGACAGTTAAAACATCATCAGAACACCCAACAGGATAAGTTTATTCAATGCCTGAATAAAGTTGTTAAGAATTTTCCACCTCTTGCTGACAGGTATGTCATGATTTACATGGTATGTTCATTGTAGATTTAGAGGAATAACAGCAAATAACTTTTCTTTGTGGGCTTCTGGTTATGTCAAGGTTTATGAACGCAGTATTCTTTTTGATACCCAAACTTCACGGTGTGATGAAAACTTACTGTCTGGAGGTAATAATGTGCCGGGCGGAAGAAGTACCTGATCTCCACTTGCAGTTAAAGGGTAAAGACTTTATCCAGATCATGAATCATAGGTGAGTGGTCATGTGATTATAAATGTAGATGCATAGTCTAAATTTCTTGATAACATTTTCTGGCCACAACATTTTTACATTCAGAAGCATTTATAATTGCTGTTCACTTTTTTGGTCACTGCTCTCCTCGTTTGAGCTCATGGAATCTGGGAGTTAAGATGGGTAGCTCACTGAAAACCAAAAACCCCTAAATAGCAAAGGTGAAACACCACTGGGATGTGTGTTTCTGTAGTATGTGTTAGTTCAGTTATGTTCTTACTCTTAGGTTGAACTGACAAGTATTTACCTAAAGCCCTTTGTGCAAAACCAAAATATTATCGCTAAAAACTAAACTGAAAAACTAAACTGATCTTCTGGTTCTGTGTGTAGCAGTGGAAAGAAAAGCAATGTAACTATTCTTTTTTTTTTTTCCCCTGTCTTTTTAGGGATGATGAAAGGCAAAGGGTTTGTTTGGATATAGTGTACAAGATGCTGTCTAAACTAAAACCACTAGAACTGAAAGAACTTCTTCCAGGAGTGACAGGGTTCATTTCTCACCCCTCTGTCATATGTCGACAGCGCATGTATGATATTCTGATGTGGATTTATGATAACTACAGGTGTGTATTCACTGCAGATGCTGTCTTTCAGTGGTTTGTCACAGGCAGAGTGAAAATGCTTTTAACACTGTCTTCCATGTCCCTTGGTGCAGGATTTTTCCAGTGCTCAGAAAAATAGAGCCTGTGTTTTGCCTAAGTAGCTCTGACCTTTGGTGGCAATTTTATTGCTTCCACTAAAGGACAAAGACTTAGACCTGAACTTCAGCCCAGAACTAGGATGTTGCATCACCACAGCATGATGGCATCAGAGGTCTCCCACTTTTTTTCTTGTTGGCAGAGTGTGTAACTAGTAAGAATTGTACAGCAGAGAAATTTGCTTGTAGGTGGAAGGTCTATTAAGGCACTTTGGCGTGATCTGGATCCCGTCAGCCTGGTGGTATAAAGATGTTCTTTCTGTTTGACCCCTTAGAGTAGGGAACAGACATGTACTCAGTTTGATGAGCAGGTTGCTGTTGAATCATCTGACTTAGCTGGGTTCTGTTATATGCTTATTCCCAAGATAACTGTTTGAATGGATAATTATTGTGAAGAAAAAGTACGGGCAATTCTTACTCCAGGGTCACTTGGGAAAAGCTAATTCTCTGCCTGTTTCTCAGTTTTAACCTTGCAAACTCAGAATTACTTCTCTTTGGCCTTTGTAATAAATACCTGACGTGTATTACTTAGCTTTCTGATTTTTTTCTTTTCTAAGTAGTGGAGAGACAAGACGTTTTTTGCAATGAAAACCTCATGTTATGAAAAAAATGCATCCTTGTCATGCCAAGTTGAGATTTTTATGAGAAGGACTTGTTCCTCCTTTTTTCCTGCCATCCTGATCCTCTTGTTTTACTGTGGATTGTTTGAGAGAAGTCACTAATAGACATTTTTCTCCTACCATCAGTGATCCAGAAAGCCAAGCAGATGGTGATTCTCAGGAAATACTCAAACAGGCAAAAGAAATGCTGCTTCAAGGACTGATTGATGAGAATGCTGAACTGCAGTGAGTAAAGAGTGTTGTAATGACTGTCTGAAGTAACAGATCCCTAAATTGCTCTTTCTTTCTTTTAACAGAAAAGTTGATCCTTAGAAGTTTTTTAATATAAAAGAGAGGCGGTGAGATGACATTAATTCCTTTTCTTCTAAAAAGTCAATTTATAAAATAGTGTCCCATAGTGTTACACCAAATTTTAGTGAAGCACAGAGCTTTTGAACAAACTTCTAAGTCATGGAGAAGTTGTTTTGGTATGTTAGACCTAATCCTGCATTAATGTTCTAGAGGTTTTGAATAACAAGGAGACCCTCACTATGCAGAAACACACAAAAATAGATTAAATGTTGGAGGACATTGGATTTTTAAAATTTTTTTGTGAAATGAAAGGTAGGATAGGACATCTCTGTGGTTATCCACCCATAGCACTTCTCAAGAGGAGAACAGCTGAATAGAAATAACTCTTTCAGAGTAAACCTTTAGTATCAGTGGGATGGCGTAGAGCATGGTAGATGAATGATCATTCATATGGAACATCCATGTCTTGAAATGATGAAGGCTTTATAATCTCATTGTGTTGTTTTTTTTTCTTTAACTTGACTTTTTTGATAGTGTTGTCTTTTTCTGTTTCCAGATAACCAAGAATAACTTTATTCCTTGCCTTTGCAGATTAATTGTTAGGAATTTTTGGAGCAATGAGACAAGGTTACCCACAAATATTCTTGATCGCATGCTGTCGTTGTTAAGTTCTTTATATTCCGCCAAGATTGAAACACAGTACTTGAGTCTAATCACAAATTTTCTGCTTGAAATGACTAGCAAGAGCCCGGACTATTCCAGAAAAATATTTGAGCATCCGCTGTCTGAATGCAAATTTCAGGTGAATTGTAATGTGTTGTCCTACGTGCAACCATGTGACACATTCTGTTCCTTAATGTAGTTACCACTTGGACGAGTAGTGAAGGAGATTTTTTTGAAAGTGCAATTTCATGCTGCATAGTTAACAGCTGGACAGTCATACACACACTATTAGAAGTTCGGTAATTTTGGGGGGGCAAGAATATTGCTTTCTTTCCAAAAAAGAAAGATTTAATTAAAATAGTTATATATACCAGGTGTAGCTGATTTGTAGAGTAGTAAAATACCTAAAAAAAGTGGGTGGTGGAGAGAAGCACCAGGAGGTGGAGAAACGTTGTGAAGGAAGAGGAATACTGGTACAAGAGCTGCAAATCAGTCCTCAGCTGACCAGTCCAAATTAGTGAGCTTTTTTTTGCTGAGCTATGGAGAACTTTTATGTGTTTGGGGTTTTTTGTATAGTCGAGTTCTGCCCCTGTACCTGAAATGGTGTTTTAAATTCTGTACTTTAATTGCTGCTGTCCTGTCTGAAGGAAGGCAGGCAGAAAGCCTCCATTCTTGCTGTTCTTATTGAAGCCTTCTTGTGTTCATAGGACTTTGTAATTGATTCCAGCTGGCGTTATCAGAGTACCATGCTCACACCGATGTTTGTGGAGACTCAAGCTTCTCAGAGCATCCACAGGAACTTATCACAAGAAAGATCCCTTTCTGCTTCTGGGTCAATCGGTGGTCGAGTGAGGGCTACCCAACGGCAATACGAATTTACACCTACACAGCATGCCAGTAAGTCCGGACCAGTGTCTTCTGAAATGTTCTTGTTTGCTACAGGAATGATTTCATTCTCTTCATTCGTGTTGCATATGAATTTTTAACATAAAAATGTAAATGCCTTTAATATTTTGTTTTCAAGGGCTTTTTTTTTTTTTTGCGTTGTGCGAAAAAACATCCAGTCACATTTTTATTAGTCTCCTGTATATTTTATGTTCTGCCTAATGTAAAAGACGTTTGTTTCTTACCTAATAGCTTGAAATCTGTTGTGCCCATAAACACTGGGAATTATATTTTTGGGGGAGGAAAATGACCTGCTTCATAGATGTTTTCATGTGATTTATATGTGGATACATTACAGATTTTTTACAATATTTTTTTACAGGTGGTAGAAGTTCTTTTAATTGGCTAACTGGAAGTAGCATTGACACATTGGCAGAGTATACGGTTCCTTCATCCTCTGAATCCTTGTCTTCATCCATGCTGTTGGTTAGCAAACGGAGTGAAAAAATTAAACAAGCAACTTTTAAACCAGTGGGGCCGGATTTTGGGAAAAAAAGGTTGGGTTTGCCTGGAGATGAGGTGGACAGCAAAGCTAAAGGTCTGTAAGCCTTATGATGCAATTTCTATATAAATATGACATTTTTATAGACCGTCTTTGTCAGTTATTTGTCTGACAGCCCATTATCTTTGAGACAATCTAATTGAACTTCAACTTGAAAGATTTTGTTTCCGGGGGTGTGTGGTGATACATAACGTGTGGCAAAAAGCTAGAATTGGGCTAGGAATTGCAAAACTGTACGTTGCTAGACAAAAGAACTGACTGGATAAGAAACCATCTGGTGTGATCTTTGTTTTTCTTTGCATCCCTGCCTCTCCCTAAGACGATCGTAGCATGAGTGTCATACAGTTCTGTCACTTCTGTTTTAAATTTAACTGCTTATCTCTTTAAAGGAGAGATCTTCTTAAACATATTTTTTCCAAACCATTTCAGCTATACTGACACAATCTACAACACATTGCAATCTGTCATTAGAAGTACCTGCTATTTTCTGAGAATGCTCCTTCATCCACCCAGTCAATAGCTGAAAAATGTCAGTACTCTTCCGGAATGGCTTAGGCTCCTTCTCCCCATTTCCTCCCCATTTCACCCTTGCGTACCTTGTCATTAAAAGTTTGGCTGGAAGGATGGGAGTAGGAGTTCAGGCAGAGAGCTGTAAATACTGACCTTTTCAATACCTGAGAGATGTTTCAGGGCAGTTTTGAATGGACCATGCTGAACTATGGAAGCAGAGAGGTCAGTCTTCATTCCAGTCAGTCCCTGGTCTTCTACCAGGAAAGTACCAGTTATAGTGGTACATTTTTGTTTGCTCGCTCCTCTTTCCTAAGAAATGGCCTGAAGTGAACAGTCTGTCAAGTCACATTTCTCCGTGACTGTCCTGAGCAGGAGTTGATCCAGTGACAGTTCTGTAATACTAACATAAAAAATAGAATTCTGTATTGTTATTGCCCAGTCTTTGAATATATTTAGCACCTCTTTTATGGAAGGAGCTATATACTTTATGGAATGTTGTGCAAATGCCATACTTCACGTTTGAGAGCTTAAAGTAAATTTGTCTTGTGGGGCAAATATGTTCATGAATTCTAGTGCCTTTCCCAGTTCAATAGTTTGACCCTTGTCCATGTGCATAAAGTTTTTATAGAAATGCTTATTACCTTCTCTCCTAAGAACAAGTTAATTTGTTTTAATTTGCTGTCTTGTTGAAAGGCCTTGCATTGAGTCGTTGGTTAAGAAATTTAGGAGACAAGCTGGTAAACTGGTAAATACAAAGATGATGTTTGTTAGTAAATGATGTTCTTGCCTTAAATCTGAAGTTTGCCTGAGAAAGGAAAAGCGGTAGACCTGATGGTGTGTTCCATAGGTTTAGAAGAACGAGCAGAAATTCTGAGACTGCGGAGACGTTTCTTGAAGGACCAAGAGAAACTCAGTCTGATTTATGCTAGAAAAGGTGTGGCTGAACAGAAAAGAGAAAAGGTTTGTCAATCCAAATAAGTTTAAAACCTTAAGTCCCAATGCCATTTGCAGTCTTGTACTTCATCTCTAGAAGTAACTTTGGGAAGAAGGGGTAGGTGTAAGATACTGGTAGCTACTTTTAAGATCTTTAGAAGCTCTTAAGAATTTAGAAATCGTGCTATTTATGTGCTTAAAGCTAAATGATGTTACTTAGCATGAGTGGGAAAAGAGCTGGATGATAACACTTCCAGTCTACCACTTGATGTGTATGAAGTGAATTTATGTGATGGAGTCCCTAACAGCTATGGGAAGCTCTTTATGGTTATCATTCTGGAAACTGGGAGCCTTGAAGCTGCAGTACTCTGCAGAAATAGTTGGAGAACATTATCCAGTTTCTGAAGGTGAGCTCAAAGATGTGTTACTGCTGATGAACTGACCGGAATGGTTGTGTACTTTTAACCCGAAGGAATGTCAGTAATAATCATTTGCTGATTGTTTTATCAAGGCCAGAAACGTAGTACTATGTGGGTTTCCTGATTGTGTTACTGTACTTACAATAAGTTAAGTATTTTTAAGCTCAAACGGTTTTTCAGAGGTTCATGTTACTAAAAATGACATACATTATCATCCAAAAATGATAGCAGTTAGACCAACAGCAAAGGAACCCAGGACTGAGAGCTCAGTTTGAGACACTCTTAAAATTCTTTGCAGCTGCAGACAACTGTGTAAACAGAACTAATGTCTGGAAGAACCACACAAACACCTATTTTAGCCAATTTATATTTACTTGCAGGCTAAAGCTACTATTTCCTCCCACTCTGCAAGAGAGAACCTGTCAATGTATTCTGTATGACAGTCCAAACAAAAACCCCTGTGATATGCCCCAATAAAAGACCAGAGGAGACTGTGAATGCTGTCAGGTCCCATTAAACTTTTCAAGAGACTTTTTGCACATAAACACACATGAAACTTGGTGACTTGTGTTAATGCTATACCTGATGGGGCAAAACAGGAAAAAGTAGGTCCTGCAAGAAAGTATTTGGAAATAGCTCTAGCAACATCCTAATTTTCTCCCAGCATATTTCTCTTGACATTTTTTTGAAAATCATCCCTCTGAAGTTGTGTAGAAGAAAAATGGGCTCAAACAGCACAATTCCAAAGGGTTTACAGAAGATTAAAAAAAAAATCTTCAAGCTTTCTTCTGTTTCCCTTTTCCATTCTACCAATTTATATCCACGTATTGTCTGCTGGTTTTAGCTGGTGATGGAAGTAGATAAAAATAAAACCCCAGCCTCTAAACTTACTGCTGATTTCCTTATAGTGTATCAGTGCTACAAACAGGAAGAAAGGCAGAGGAAGAGAGAGGTTTTGTCTATGTCTGGTAGTAGCTCTTGTTCAATTAAAATGTATTCCTTTAGGCCTCAGCAAAAGGCAGGGCAGCTATTCAACAACTGCAGTTTACAACAGTTTTAGTATGGTTTGGTTTAAGTTTTACTAGGAATTGGTTCCATCAGGTTCATCCTTCTTCCTTCCCTTCCTCATCCCACTGTGTGACATAAAACACACCAGCATTAGGAACCTCATTTTACTTTGCATATGGGCTAGGCTGAGAACCATCATATTATGGACTCCTGCGGCTCAGCTTAGTAAACCATAGCAGCTCACTAGCTGTCAGTCATAATCATTCTCTTTAAAAGTGACTTAAATACTGCCTGTATGGAAGCAGGAACTACAAGGCATTAATATTAAAAGTTAATGGCTGAAGTAAGTCTGTGAACAAGACTTTGGAGTTTTTAGTTGACTAAGATAATTTTGGGTTTAACCATATTACAGCTTTATAGAAAATGTATTTGTTTAATAAGCATGGCAAGAGTTTATAAAACACTTCAGAAATGTTCTTGCTTATTTTGTCTTATATAGATACAGCTCTTTCTAAGTAATATGGTTATTATTTTTTTAACATGAGCAATGCGTTTCAGGAGATGAAATCTGAGCTGAAGATGAAGTATGATGCCCAGGTTACTTTGTACAGAAGGTACCGAGTAGGAGACCTTCCTGACATCCAGATTGAATACGCCAGTCTCATTGCCCCTCTGCAGGGCCTTGCCCAGGTCTGTCTGCTTGTCAAAGGTCACTTGTGAATTTTTCTGTTCTTGTAAGGAAAATGACCTGTAGTTGGGCAAACGCTTTCAAAATTGATTTGTTGTTTTGTAGTCAGCCGCTGCGACAGGCATTTGAAGAGTCTGTTTTGAGGGAGGATTTCTCTTCCCCCTGGGCTGGTGCAGTGATGAGAAAAGATGCCTTGTAGCTTGCCTCGCCTCAGCAGTTGATTTGAACACTGAGGACCTGAGACATCAGCTGTTGTCCATTGCCTCTTGGGTTCCTTTGCTTGAGAAACAGATGGTGGTGGTCTTTACAGGCGATATTGCAAAGGACATCTCACTGTACAGCCCCAAACCAGCCATTTTTATTCTTTCAGATGGCTATAGTGAAGTTATAGAAATGCAAACAAAGTTACTGTGGCTAAGACTGGACTCAGACTACTCAGTAAAGCTGATCCAATATTCCTTTTCCTACCTGAGGGCAGTAGAAACTGTAGGCTGAACCTATCCCATTTTACAGTGTTTGGGAAGTCACAGTGCTCCTGATTACCTTTGTATGTAATTTCTTTTGATGATCCCTTATCTCTGAGTAAAGGGAGGAAGTAGCACACTCATGATTTATCTGAATAGCATTAGATCAAGAGTTAGACCGAACTCCAGTCCCATGATAAACCAGGATGCACAGGATTATGTTACAAATGCGTTTCTGGGTTGAAAAAATGTCTTTAAGTCTCAGATGAAACTGTCTGTCTGTACAGACAGTCTGTCTCTCTGTAAGCTGCCTCAATGTTGAGTCTCTGTCTCCTCACACATTGATGTCTTCTTTTTTTTCCTGAAACAGTCTTCACTGACAGTGGTGTCTGTAAGATGGTTTTGGGTGCCTGGTTCCTGTAATGGGAATTGTGAATATGTGAAAATTGTAAATTCCATCCTCTCCACCAACACTGTGACCTGAAAGCTACATTGTCTTGGAGTTTCTCTATGTAGAAGAATTAAGATGGGATTAGAATGGGTAGTACAGTAATTCCCAGCACAGGCGTGATGCATGCCAGACTAATTATTCCACTCCCAAAGAGTGCCCACATAGGGATTAGGTAGAGGGTGGGTCATATCTCTTAATTTTATTTGTTAGTTTATTGTGTCACAGAAAAATTCAGTGGCCTTACTGCTTCTGTTGTAATTTACAGAAAGATCCAACATTTGCCAAGCAACTTTTCAGCAGTTTGTTTGGTGGAATTTTTCATGAGATAGAAAAATCTAAAACTCCTTCTGAGAAAAAAGCCATCATCCAGAAGCTCCTGAACGACTTCAATAACTTCCTGAGTATGAGCCTGTCTTACTTTCCACCCTTCATTGCGTGCATCCAGGTAAATCCTGCTATATGGCATGAAAGTAACTGAATATAATGTTTTTGTCTGAATGTGTGGTAAATCCAGTGGTAGCAAAGGTTAAATACTGTTACTGAAACTTAAACAGAAATGGAAAGAGAATTGTTAACCAAATGGATATTTCAAGTGGCTCTTGTTAAGGTGAACGAGATAATTCATGCCTCTGAAATGAACGTTCAAGATTTTAAAATTTCTGATCTGTAGAGTTTGAGTCACCTTTTAATGTTTTAATTGCATCAGTAACAAGAGGTGGCTTGATTTTTAAATGAAAGCCACAAGAACAATTAAAAGGTTTACGTGGGTGTCATGTGCTTATCTTCCTGTCTCTGGGAAGTGCTTACAGAGGAACACTTTGATGTCTTGAGGATATCAGTAGCTGTCAGACCTTTGTTGTTAGCCTCTTTCTTACTTTTTCAAATTAGTCCCCTGAAGTAGCTCTCAGGGGATTTTCAGTAATGAGGGAAGGACTTGCTCCCACCAATGGGTGAGTGGGCACACCACAGCGATTTCACTGGAGGGGAAACAAGCCTTTCTGCTGTGAGAATGACCTGGAGTAGGTTGTGAACTTCATCTTTTACCCCAGTTTTCAGGGAGATAAACAAAAAAACTTGTCCAAGCACCTGTTACGTACTCATTGTCAGTGTATTTAATGTTTCTTGTCAACTGTGGTCATCTTAAAGTTGCATCTGATTGTAGCTCTCAAAGTAATCTTTTCTGAGTGGCAGGTAGTGGCTGCTTCTTTCTGTTGTGGAAATTTAAATACTCTGTGACAGCAGATGTCATTCGTAATTCAGGAGAAATGTCTAGTTTGGACTAGCTTTTTGAACTTTGCTTCCTAGTACTTGTATTTACACATCTGAAAAAATGTAATTTCTTATTTACTTTTTTCTGTGCAGCTGCATAAAAGGTCAAATTCTGTGGGGATTTTTCTGGGCTGTCTTGGTGGTTTTTTAAGCCAGCATCCCACAATAGCTATCTGTTAATATTCCCTCTTGACATTGCATTTGTTGGTTCTCTGTCTTGATAACTATTCTTTGTGTTGAATTATGCTGTCTGTTAAACTCTATTAATAGCACTGTTGTGTTAGGATACTTTCTTTTCTGAATAGACAGAAAATGAAGGCTCGAGAAACAGGCACGTTAAAATTAGTCAAAAATATGGACTCTGTGAGAGCAGTGAGAGCATCTCATTATTGCAACTTTCCTTTGGTTTATTAAGTGAAAAAAAAAAAAACCAAACAACCTGGCTTTAATAAACTTGTCTGCTACTTTTGATATATGTAATTTGGATAACAGTTTAAGTATTTTAAAAAACCTTCAGACAAACAACAGTGTTTATCCCTGAAGAAGAGGGTGTTCTGTAGTTGGACTAATGTTAAATACGGTAAAAATCTGCTAGAAATATTGTCATGTCCTTAAATCAGGCAGGATTAGATGAGTGCAGTGCTAAATGAGTCTAGCAGGAAGCCGTGGTGTGCTGCAACTGGTGAAGTGCGTGGATAGAGAGCCTGCAGCTCAGAGGAGGCATCGTGGTTAGTCGTGCCTCTGGCTTACGGCGTTAAAGCACCACTCAACAGGTCAGGTGAAATGCAGCCGGTGTGTAGCGGGCACCACGCTGCCCACTTACAGGAGGAAAGACTGAGGCTGTGAATGTCTCCATCGACCTCTCCCACCTCTTCCCCTGTGTCTCTAAGTGAGTTATCCTGTGCCCTGCAGACAGATGAAGTAGAGGGGTTGTTCTCTGCTATTCTCTGTCCGAAAAGCAACAGCACAGAAGGAGAGGGTTCCAGTTCTCCCAGAGCTGGGAACTTCTGGAGATTTAACGACTTACTTCCCAAGCTTGCACTGTAAGGAAAGGGTTGCCAAACAGGTGATCGGTAAAAGGAAGCTATCAGTATAGTCTTGGACCACGTAGACACCTGTCGTTTTGCTTTATTTCGTAGGAAATGAGTTACCAGCACAGAGAGCTACTGGAACTGGATTCGGCTAATGTGAGCACGAGCTGCCTTGCAAGCTTGCAGCAGCCCGTGGGCATCCTTCTCCTGGAGCATGCCCTGATGGCTCTGTGCCCTGCGGAGGAGCCCCCATCCAAGCGGATGCGTGGGAGGACGGACCTTCCCCCAGATGTCATCAGATGGATTGAGCTTGCTAAGTAAGTTCTTGTTTGAGACAATTCACTCCCATTGCGGTTTGCCTTGTGAAGAACTCTGCCTTTATGCCTTACGGGATTTCTTTTTCAGTCTTTCCCTCTTTTAGAATTAGATAAGATTTTAATTTCTTGTCAGTTAATGGCTGTCTTTCAGTTAGAGCAGTTAGGCTTAACAGCTGTGCGCCCTGATGATGCTATCAGGCTGCTGAAAAATGTCTTGTTTATAGCTTTTCAGCTGCAGGAGTTTCCACAGTTCAGGTATTACCCTTCAAGATGAAGTTAAATATATATTTTGTAGTTAAATACATATTTATGAGCTCATAAAAGAAATATAAAAAACATTTTTGCTACTACAAGCCAGTAGTGTTACTGATTATTGAATTATTATTTTTTTGAATAGCTTCTGTTTGCATTGGTATACCTCTGTCCAACTGATTAAAAGATTTCTCTATTCAATTTTACTAGGCTGTACCGATCTCTTGGGGATTATGATGTCCTTCGTGGCATTTTCAGTGGAAAGATTGGGACTAAGGAAATCACACAGAAAGCACTGTTGGCAGAAGCACGGAGTGATTATGCTGAAGCAGCTAAATATTATGATGAGGTATAGTGACAACAAGATTTTTTCTTATTTCATGAATCTCTCATGACTTAAAACTAATAAGCCAAAATGAAACATTTTGAGAAGCAGCATGTTTAGAATGTTGCTGTGTTTTGTTTGGTTGGTGGTTCAGTCTGTAAAGACATGGGAACAGATGAGCAGTCACAACAGAGCAGTGAGCGTGAGGCTTTTTACTGTTTACAAAACTTCACTCGTGCAATCACCTGGGTAGTCAGGTAAAACACCGTGGGTGCACTGCTACCCCAGGAGAGCAAACTGCATGTGTTCATGGCAAAGAAAATCCTGAGTTATAGTGGGTAAAAATGAAGAAGGATCACTTCAACCTTCTTTGAAAGTCTTCACTCTTTAAAAATGCAGGTTTACTAAAGATGGGTCCCTGAAATGAATTTATGTACAAGTATTGACAAGCTTGAATTTCCTGCATTTAATGTTGCTGTCACGTTCTGGTAAATGGGTAGATATTTTTCTGAGACAATTATCGTTAAGTTCCTGATGACTTAGAATTGAGAACCTTCCTCCCCCTCAAATCCATTCCCTAGGCACTCTCTAAAGAAGACTGGCAAGATGGAGAGCCAACGGAAGCGGAGAAGGACTTTTGGGAACTTGCATCTCTGGAATGCTATGACCACCTCACAGAGTGGAAGTCTCTGGAGTATTGTGCCACCATTAATATCGATAGTGGAAAACCTCCAGACCTAAGCAAAACGTGGAATGATCCATTTTTTCAGGTTTTTAGAAATAGTTTCATTGATAGCACACTGTTTTTGTCTCTGCGGGGATGTCCTACAGTAATGTGATTGTGGGTGGAAATTAATTGCATTATTTGGGTTACTTACATTATGGCAATTAGCAGAGAGTCTCATGTATGAAATAACTGAAGTTTTTACGATGTTTAATTTTTACCTTGAGTCTATGGCTGATCATACAGGACCAGCTTTATCATCACCGTCGTCTTCTTGCAGCGTTTTTGTTGCTTTTATTGCTTTTATTTGTTTTGAATCGTAAGTTACCAGGCACTGGGTTTGAAAGGGTGGAATTTGCTAACAACCTCTTGAGCCTGTCAGAAAAGGCTGCTGTGCTTTGTTAGCAAATTGGAATTTGTCTAAAGGGAAAACATATAAAAATAGTTACCGGTTGTCTGAAATGTATTTGATCTGCCACTGATAACAAAAAGCTGACCATCTAATATTCCATTTCTAGAAATAAAGACTGTCTTTTCACACTGTAGGAGACCTATCTGCCCTATATAATACGCAGTAAGTTGAAGTTACTGCTCAGCGGGGAAAATGACCAGACTTTGCTAACTTTTATTGATGAGGCAATGAAGACAGAACAGAAGAAAGCTGTTATAGAAATGCATTACAGCCAAGAGCTCAGTCTCCTTTACATCCTGCAAGATGATTTTGACAGAGCCAAATACTACATTAGCAATGGCATGCAGATCTTCATGCAGGTAACAGTCTCTGCTACCTCTGGTATGGTTTTTCTGTATAAACTCATGGAACAATGGAACTGTTGTTGCTGTTACTGCTGCTAGATTATACTCTCGAGAGAAGCACTTGCCCAAATACAAGGAAACCTAGGTGCTTTCCAATCATGTGTCAAAACTTCTTTGAATTCGCTGCTTGCAGTGATGAGAGATGAGCCAGCTGCTGGAGTACGTCCTCCCGTTTTAATTCGTTTTATTTTACTGTTTTCATCTCTTAGAAATTTTTTGGGGTAATTGTTTGTGCAGATTAATAGCAGTTTTATTTCAGTCATCTTTTCAGAAGCCTCCTGTCCCCAGAACAAACTTGAAAAGAGAGTATTACATTGAGAGGTTACAAGTTCTATCCATTATCAATTTTTGATTAGATTGTAGGACTATCCTAAAACCTAGGACAGGAATTGCAGCTAGAATATGCCTCTAATGCTTGTCCAAAGCAGGTTTGCTCTCAGATTATAGGCTATTAAATTACTTGTAAAAGCTTGGGTTGTAGAGCATAATATAGAGCAGCATCAGATAAATAGTTTGCAGAGCACTGAATAGGACCATATTGTAAATTCCATATATGAAATCTTATTCTCTCCCTTTCTTTTCAGAGTTATTCCAGTATCGATACTTTGTTATATCAAAGTCGAATGACTAAACTGCAGTCTGTACAAGCTTTGACAGAAATACAGGATTTCATCAATTTTATGACCAAGAGAAGTAAAGATTTTTTTTTTCTTAAGTGATTTTCTTTTCATTTTGTTAAGAGTCATGGTTTCCTGAACTTTGAATTTCTGTTTTCACGCTTAGAAGACTGACCTCCTGTTTGAAGGAGCATGGGTCTGAAATTACTTCTTACTGTCTTCTCGACAGTAAGAACTACTGCAGTTGTGTAAGACAGGCTTGAAGATAATTAATTCTGTGTTCTATTGCAAAGGTTTATCAGCCTTGCTATTGGCGTAAGAGTTAATTGTATCTTTTTAAAGTGTGATGGTTTTAAACTAAGATTTTTTTTTTGTTGGGGTCACTTTTGGTAGCCAATAATGGTTAGCAGGGATAAAAGATGGATGTGATAGATAATTTATAGCTTCTGAGGTAGGCATGAAATACAAATTTGTGTGCATAAAGAGAATTATGTATTAAATTTAGTTAACAGTTCCACTATATTCCAGCATATTCCTGTATGGAAAAGTACCTACCCAGTGGTGATTCCCAGTGACAGTTGACACTGGTGTCCTTATAGACCCTCCTGTGTTTCAGGAATAAACAAAAGCAATACCATCACCAAGTAGTGTATTTAGTGCAAGCCCAGAAATGCTGTTTTATTGCAGTTTTCTGGTTTGAATGTTAGACTATGTTTAGTTTAGGCCTTTTTCACGCTGTGTGGATTTAGATGTATTTAAAGTGTTCTTAATTGCTTTCTAGGTAACTTAGCTTCACAGGCTTCCCTTAAGAGGCTTCTCAGAATTTGGACAAGCAGATATCCAGATGCTAAAATGGATCCTATGAACATCTGGGATGATATCATTACAAATCGGTAAAATGACATTCTTGAGCTTTAGTTCTGTCTGCCTGTTGAGTTCTGAGAGGTGCTTTTCCTAATGCTCCTTGGTTTTGCTTGTTTCCATGGCGGGGACGGGGGGCAGGGGGGGACAGGGGTGTTGATCCAGTCTATGACACTTTTTCTTTTTTTCTTTTTTCTTTTTTTTTTTTAGTTTAGGCATTTATTGCATCAGTGACTACATGCACTGTGCAAGCGAGCCCACTTAAACACATCCACGTGCAATGGAGTAGATTGGCTGCGTTTAGCTCAGTGAAACACCACCCAAAAGGCCAGTCTGTTATGAATAAAAATACTTACCTACTTTGCAGGCAGTTCCAAAGTTAGGGAGTGTACGAAATAAGCCCAGCCCTGTCACTGTCAGTGCTTTACGTGTTCATAGGAAAGTTAATGACCAGTGCAGTAATTAGAGACTTCTGCTGTGTGACCATTGCTAAAAAGAACAGAGGCTCTCCGGAGACTCCTTTGGATTAGCTCTGAAGAAGCTGGAATGGTTTTTCAAATTTGGAAGTTTTCTGTCCTCCCTGTGGTATCTGTCTTCATCACAATCCATTCTTCCAGTGCAAATCTAGATTCTTTCTCCTTTCCTAGAGGACAGCTTTTCCAACAGCTCTGCTGATACCCACTGTGCTCCATAATTTATTTTATTATCTCTTGGTGTCAGGAAAGCGTGCCTACAGAAGAGCTTACTGCAGTTAAACATTAGGCAGAATACGTGGTATGGCTTACTCCTTTGCAAAGTCTCAAAACATTTATGGCTCGAAGGGTTGTCAGTGTCTTACTCATTTTCGTACGCCTTTAGAAAACCATTAGTTCATCTTAAATTAGTGACAGAGGATGTGCCAAGCGCCCTCCAGATTGCAACGCTGTCCTCTGCGTTGAATAACGTTCTATATAACGAGAGATGCTATTAAATTAGATAGGACCAGTTGTAGAATGAACAGGATTTAGCATTGATTTCATGGCAGTTCTCTTTTGAAAGTTGAGTACGGTCACTGGTCTTTGCTGCAACGCAAATTTCAGTGTTAACATGTGTGGGTGTGATATAGATTTGAATTGCAGGTTGACATAAAATACACCCTGGCACGCACACTATGTAGCTGAGACTCCTGTTTGTCCGCACTTCTGTCTAGTTGTAACGCAGGTTATGGCTTGGTGAACTTCGAGGTTGTAGCTATGGTTTTAAAAGAACAAACTTAACAAAAAATCCCACTCTGTTAGGGACATTTTCTAATACTTAATCTCATCAGTTCAAGATCCTAGAATGCTCTCAGGGTCAACCTGTCCCCAGTTACGACTCGCCAGTTTGGCCCTTGCCAAAGGCGGTCGCTGTAGCTTGCTGGTTTTGTTTAGCTTTGTTTGCCGTCAGGCAGATCAGCGCTTTTGAGCGTTCATTCCCTTGGCTGCGTACCGGAGTGATTTGTGCTCCTGTTGTCGTTGTGCAGGTGTTTCTTTCTTGACAAGCTGCAGGAGAAACTTCTCTGTGATCAGGCCAATGATAGTATGGAGGTGGACGAAGAGTGCAGTGCTGGTGACCAAATGGAAGTGGATCAACAGGGTGAAGACATTTACTCAATGATTAGAAGCTGCAAATTTAACATGAAAATGAAGATGGTAGAAAGTGCCAGGAAACAGGTGACTGTGCTCTCTGATACCTTCCGGTTTTGTGAGAAAATACATAGAAACTACAGCTGGAAAAGCTGCTTAAGTGGTCTTGGGCACCTTTTTGCCAGGGCAGACCTTGTCTCTTTTTGACACTGCTGTCCAGGACATTTTGAAAGCTCAAGAAAGTCAGTTCCACAGCAAAAGAAAACAAATGGATAAGTGTTAATTACAAACTTAATGATAATTAGTCATTACTGGAAATGTGCCTGAAGGCCCCTTTGATACACAAATGGTTTCTGACACTCTAAAGGGCAGATAAATAAAGTATCTGAAATGTTTCGGTCTTCAATGGAAGGTATGCTTGCAACCAAACTTTATGCTTTCTCATTTACAAATAATCTCTTCTGTACAAGAAAACAAGCCAAACTCAGGTTGAATCAATATCATTTACTTCAGTCAGCAATGAGGAAACATTTTATGATTATTTTTTTTTACAGTTTTCATTGATGCTGTCAGGTTAACACCTGTATAAAGAACTGAAGCTTGGTTTGGATCTGGCTGTTAAATTGACTGAAACATAGCCTTCTTCAGTGATGGGCCTTTGGTGTTTCAAGCTTGAGACAAGACGAGTAATATTTAAGTCAAGGTCTCCCTCATTTTCTGAGATGCTGCAGAAATCTGCAATCAGTGACAAGAGTTTATTTTAAGCACTGTAATAACCAAATATATTATTAGTTCTGTGTTGACTGTATACTCTTAAAGAAGTAAATGAAACATAAGATTTCCTTTCATGTTACTTAGATGAAATTTTTCAACCAGTGATTTGCTTAATGGTGTTACGAACCAAGTTACTTTCCCCCTATGTGTTTGTCCTGCAGAGCTGTTAATGCCTGTTTAGCCATGCAGATAGAACTATTTTAATTTCCTCAGTTTGTCAAACCTCTGTTTTTTTCTTTTTCTTTTCAAATTTCTCCATTAGCACAAATCTGATTTTGAATATGAGACCTGACAAGCAGTGGACCTCTCTTCGTCTTCTTACAGTTCTACTTTTGTTACCTGAATCTTCTCATCCCTTAACTTGATTGCAGAAAGGTTTTATTTCGTTTTCAGAGATATTACCTGAAACTTCTATCTTATTCTGAATACAGAACAGCTTCTCAGTTGCCAAGAAGCTTCTGAAAGACCTACGCAGAGAAGCCAAGATGAGGGAAGACTGGCTGATGAGGTGGAACTATGCCTATTGCCGCTTTATGCATAGTTGCAGCCGGAACCAGAGTTGTCCTGAACGAGTGCTCTCAGTGTTAAAAACCATCTCCCTGCTTGGTAACAGCCTTCTCTTTGCTTCACATTGTTTGTTATGCAAAGCTGCTTTGTTGTCAAAATACCAACTTTAGTCTTGAATTCCAACAGAAGATACCAAATCTGACTATCTTAGCAAGAACATCATGGCCTTCCGAAACCAGAATCTTCTTCTGGGTACTACATACCACATCATGGCCGATGCTCTTAGTCAGGATCCAAGATGCCTTGAACAAATCGAGGAGGAAAAGGCTGGAAAAATATCAGTGCTATCAGGAGAAAGTCTTGAGAGTCCTGAAAAGGTAAGTGAGAGGGTGAAAGCTTTTAGGTATTTCAGGATTGTAATCACTAGTTCAGTAGGTGGTGGTGGATATGGTTAGAAAACAGAGAATGCGAAACCCGTCTGCTATTAGCAGTGATTTGTCCAGGAACACTAGCTAGGGGAAGGGAAGAAAAAAAAAACAACCAACAGCTGTGGTTGCTGTTTTGTCTGGGTTTTGCTCTCCTGGAGTTCTGCACCACTGTAGCATTTTTAATTGGGAGAGGGTTCTCCTGATTCTCTGTTCCTGCGTTTTGTGTGGAGGGGAAAGACATAGTCATACACAGTGGCAAGACAAGGCTTGAGAACATGATCCTCAAAGAATGCCCTTATTTCAGCAGGGCATTTCTGAGCCTCTTCATGCTGTCAGACTATTTTATTTCATAAAAAGACGTTTATAATACTGGTAATGATACTGACTGGTACACTCATTTTATCTAAGTAATTTCAGTGATGGAGAGGGGTTTTTAAGACAGACCATGCGCAGGTCATCTCTGCTGTTCTGGGGAGGCGCGCATTTGAAGAATACAGTGGCAGGCTATGTTGCATTTGAAATTGTAGATGTTGTCAGTTGTCCCAGGTGCTGTGGCATTGACTTCTTGTCAGTCAAACTGATGAGGAATTTGAAGTACCACCACTGACCTATTTCTGTTAATTCCTGAAGCCACTACGAAGACCCTTAGATACGAACCATATCAGTATAAAACAGCAAAAAAATGTTCTTAAATTTGTGGGTTTGTGGTTGTTAAAGAAAAGCAGATAAAGAAAAGATTCTTGAAAAAAAAAAAAAAAAGAAATTTTAAATTTTCGGGTGTATAGAAACTTGAGCCAAAGCTTAAGCTTCACTTATTAGCTAATTATTAAGAGCATTCTTCTTGAGGAAATCTGAAAGATGAGCATAAAAGCTCTTCCATGTCAGATGAGCAGATTGGGATACCAGATATTTCTATAAGGAGCTTAGCCTTATTTTAGCTTAGTATTAAGAAGTATTCTGACCCTGCTAGTTGCCCTTACCTAACTGAAATTTAAACTATTTAATTTAAACTAACTGAAATTTAAATTATTTAATTTCAGTTACAGCATTTTTTGGTTGTTCCAGTTGTTCTGCAGCAATTTTGTGTGTTGTTTAATAACGACAATAGCTACAATGTCTGAGGTCGGTAAGCTTGTTGGCAATATAAGAACATATGTACTCGATTTATAAACATTCAGTTGTAAAGGATCTTGTCAAGTCCTTCATGGCATGGGCTGCATTAGAAATGTATGATCACTATGGCTGTGTGTGTTAACGGGGAAAAAGACATCACATTTGAAATAGTTTGATGGATGCTTTTTATAACACAAATTCTAAGTATAGCTGTTATGCTGATGTTGCAGATATGTCTTAGTAGGAATAAAATAGCATTTTTTACTATGTTTTCTGTTAACTGTTTGCAAAAACCGTAGTAACGTTAACTTTTTTTGCAGTTATAAAAGTTCCACGTAACATGTCCGAAGACTGATTTCAGTTAAAAATATCCTTTATATTTTTCCATTGAAAATTTTGGAAATTAAAATTATGGAAATTACCGCTAGAAATCATGTCCCAGTTTTTTTCCTTTGTATCAGCTGCTCAAATCATCTCCCACAGTTAAAGTTTTATCTTCTCAAAACTAGTGACCAAGCTCCAGTTTCAGAAAGAGTTTTTGAATGCTAATGTGTCTCTTTTTTTCTCTCGTGACTGAATTTCAGGTATTGGCAGGACTGAACAAGAAGGCTCTTCAGTGTTTCAGCAGCGCTGCCAGGAAGTCCGAAGAGGAGGTGCAGTCCCACTCCGTGGAACACGTCGATGTGACGGGCGTTATCGATGCGTACATGACTCTGGTTGGTTTCTGTGACCAGCATCTGCGTCGGGAAGAAGAAGGCTTGCTTGGTTAGTCAGGATTCCTCCTAAGCATGTGAGGCAGGTTTATCAGTGATACGTGAGCTTTTGTGATAGCCAGGAGATCTCCCTGAGCAACACAGCTTGAATTTAAATGGAACAGTTAGTCCTCCAGTCAACAGTATTTATTCCTTCCTCCCCTCCATTACTGCTAGCTTTGGTACTGGTGAATCACTCGTCGTCTCCCTCTCACTTGTGAGAAGTGTATCATATCCAGCAGATGCTTCTCTTGTTCCTTCCCAGACCACAGCAGTGCTGTATTTAAAGCAGGCAAGATACCAGCAGTGATGCAGTTTCCTGATAAAGCTAATCCTTACAGCCCCCAAGTACGTGTGTTGCAGATGTGTGCAGTTCAAACAGATGGGAAGGAGAACAAAGTAAAAATACAAAATACGCTGAAAAAAACCAACCAAACCCTGAATTGTAAAGATGAATGTTCCAGATGATCAAAGACATGGAACAAGTGATGGTGTTTCTGATAATTCTTGTTTAATGTCTCTTGGCAGAAATTAACGCTGCAGATCTGCAACTATTCCCAGCTATTGTGGTGGAGAAAATGATAAAAGCTTTAAAACTGAACTCCAGGGAAGCCAGGCTGAGATTTCCTAGACTGCTGCAAATAATTGAAAGATATCCAGCAGAGACACTGGGTCTAGTGACACGAGAGGTTAGTTGCTTCCATTTTCCTGGCAGCAAATGTTGTTATAAATCGAATTTAAAAGGTGGGGGTGGAGGTTGGATAGATAGAGAGGTTAGACTGGTAAGTTTTGCTTCAGGTAAATCAGATAAATTTTATCCCATCATTGTTCCTTGACTTTTCTCCAACTTGCCGAGTCTTAATTCATATAGACAGAAACTGTTTTCTTAAAAGTTTAACTTTTTATCATTATGCTGATTCCAAATGTTAGTTTGAGAGCTGCTGGAGAAAAACTACATTGTGGGTTGGTTGGTTTGTTTGTTTGTTTGTTTTCCTTTAGAACAATGTAAGTGGCTGATAAAGGTGGTTAGTATTAGGGTGAGGAACGTATCATATTTTTGTAGGCTGAGTTTCCTGTGTGCAGGAAGCCAGCAGGTTTTCCAGACTTATTTTCCACACCTCCCACCTCTCCCTGTCCTGCTTCACTTCAGAGGTTACTACAGCTCCTTCCTCCTTTGTATTCCCCACTTCCTCCCTTCCACGACCTGTCCCTCCATGCCATTCCACCGAGCAGGATACCATGAGCCATGCTGCCTTCCCTGGTCGTGGGACAGATAAGCTGAGAGCTCCTCTGTGACTCACTCCTGTTCCTGCCTTGGCCTGCCTGCCTTTTCAAGCCCATGGCATCGTGCTGGTGCTCATAGTGCCAAGCCCTGTCAGAGGAAGAACTCGAGAGAGACAGAAGCACAGCTTGGTTATCCCAAGAAACTGAGAAAGTAGCAAAAAACGGCTGAGGTGCACAAGGTGTGGCCACAGGGAAACTGAGGATTCAAACAGAACCTGATACCTGGTCCAGCTGGCAATTCTCACCCAGAAAAGGAGTTCACCAGGCAGTTTTGTCCTCTCCTTTGTCTTTCTGTGAGACAGATAGTGGCAATCTGAACTTAAACTCTATCAGAAAGGCAGGAAGGGATTAGACAGGAGGAAAGGAGTCGGAGTCTAGCCTCTGGCTATCACAGGAAAAGATATTATAGTACTCTTCTCAAAAGTGGCACGGTTTTTGGAGGGAAGTGAGTGTGAAGTATATTGAGGGGAGTGCTTTACTGAGACTGATACTTGTCGGCAAACTTAAACCTGTTTGAAGTTGAAGGAAGGACAAAACTGTGGGAGGAGTTCCAGTGTTCCCCTTCCTGGCTTTTTTGACTCAAATCAAGACTTCAGCCCGATAGTGTTTGAACTATCCCTTCAGATTTTTGAGCTGTCTATGTGGTGATCAAAAATTATTATATTGCATCCAGACAGAAAAGCCGCAATTTTGAGTATAAAGCCTCAACAAACTGCAAATCTTTATGATAGAAAATCTATTCAGCAGCAGCGGCAGCGGTGGTGGTGGTGGTGGTAGTACTAATAATGAAACCTCTGCTTCATTAGAGGATGTTTTCTGCAACCTAGTTGACATTCTCTGTTTCCTTTTCATGTGTTTCTGTCTGTCAGGCAGTTTTGTTTGTTTGCTATGTTTGGTATTTTCAAGGAGGACCAAAGTTGAAAGCAGTGTTGTGTTTTTGCAGCTTTCTTCGGTGCCCTGTTGGCAGTTCATTGGTTGGATTAGCCAGATGATGGCACTACTTGACAAGGATGAAGCAGTAGCCGTGCAACATACTGTTGAAGAGATCGCCGATACCTATCCCCAGGCCATCATCTACCCTTTCATGATCAGCAGTGAAAGTTACTGTTTCAAAGACACTGCAACTGGTTGTAAGAACAAGGAGTTTGTAGAAAGGTGAATTTGCAATCAGAGTAGCTCTTTTGTATGTTTTTATATTCAGGAGTGGAGAGGTTTACTTATTTTTCCTAAACGAGCTCTGTTCTTTAGGGGGCATGAGAAACATTAGAGGGTAGTCCCATGTGCACTGTGTTTTCATTTAAAAGCACAGGGAAAACCAATACATAAGTATTAGACTTACTGGGGTTGGTGGCCTGAATACTTCCTGAAGTGTTGAGTACACACAGTCCCTGGGCAGAGGGAAGTTAGAATTTTTCCAGGATAAAACGAAAAGACCACAGAGGGACAACCCCTTTCTCCTCATAATTCTGTGGTAGTCAAAGTTTCTTCTTCCTTCTCCTGCTCTGCTGAGGTAGAAGGGAGATGTGATGCGTGATTAGGCTCTTACTGTAGTAGACTTCACAGCAGTAAGAGTCAGTACCCATCAGAGATGAAGATGAAGCTTGCTTGAGCGTTTACAATCTTCTAATACCAAGAGAAGGCAGGTATGTTGAAATAGAATAGATGCTTCTACCAGACTTCAGAGAGGGCCAGTGAACTGGATGCACTTTGTCTTGGAGAATGTCAGCTCTTGGTTGTGTTCTTCTCCGCTTATTCAGCGTGCAGCATGCACCTGCCTCTGCGAGCTCCCCCTTGCCTGTTTTGCCGTGCAATAAAACCTGAGTTAGTCCCCAGGCAAAAGTCAACTCATTGCACGGTGCTGTAGAACCACCAATACAGTTGTAGGTGTCTTTTTGCCTTTTGTCGAATCTCTGGCAGATTTGCTGAATTTCTTTGCTTAAAGTAAGATCAAGTCTTGTGCTTCACAAACTGTATTGCCCTTGAATGACTGTCATGACAGGATGTATAGTCTGGTTAATGCTCATTTCTGTTGCAAGTATGCTTTCTGCTCCCCTACCGAGCTCCTATTTTCATAGTGGGACACTTAATTAAAAAAAATGGGAGCTGCATCACAAGGACAGCCAATATATTAACAGTCAAGCAGCCCAAGATAGAATTCTGAGGGGGTCCTACCTACCTACCCCTAGATTATTTTACCAGATTCTCGAATGAAACAGACAATCTGGATCATTGCATATCTGCAGGCTAGGTGGTAATTCCTGTTGCATTGTGATGCACTCCTTTTCTTTTAAAGGATCAAGAATAAGCTGGACAGAGGAGGAGTAGTTCAAGATTTTGTTCACTCCCTGGAACAGCTCTCCAATCCCATAATGCTTTTTAAGGTAAAGCGTGTATTTTGCTATATCTTCCCACTTCCCCTTCATTCCTCACCCTCTGTTTCGGAAGGAGGGTGCTGCGCGGAGCCTGCGGCAGTTCGGCTGACACCGCAGCCGCAGGAAGCGGTTCAACCCAGTGTCCCCTGGTGACGATGTCGGGGGGCTGCCAGCAGCTTTCGCTGGCGATGGTCTCCCTCCCTTGGGCCAGCTGGCTGGTTTGCACTAGCCCTTTCCAGCTTTCTCCTTCAGGGTCTCTGCCCTGTGGTCAGTCTTCCTGCTTCGTTCTGAAACGATTACAGAATTCTCATTTGTGGCCACCTCTCTGATTTCTGACTATTTGTGTTTTCCCTGCTCTCTGCTGGGCTTCTTTGTCTGACCCTGCTGTCCAAAGGACTCTCATCTTGTGTCTGGTACCACTCCTGGCCCCATAGAGGCTTTCTGAGTTTGCACTAGACACTATGGTATAATTATCTTAATGAAGTAGAAACGTTTTATCAAGAGACAAATGAAAGGGAAGTATTTCTGTAGCCTCTTGATTGCTCTTTTTGTTGTCAAAAGAAACATTAATTGGCTATCAGTAAATACAGTAACCCAAATGCAATCTGAGCAGATTACTGAAGAGCAAGGGTCAATAAAACTGTTTCTCAGTATTCACCTGTTTCCTTTTGTTTGCAGGATTGGGTTGAGGATGTCAGAAATGAGTTGGTGAAAGCTCAGAGAAATAAAAATAAGCTTAAGGAAATGTACGAAGGAATGTACAAGACTTTGGGAAATCTGGAGGCTCCTGGCCTTGGCTTGATGAGGAAAAGGTTTATTCAGGTATGTGTGATGACTGAGTGGTGTTGGTGTCGTGTGCTTTTCTAGAAGGAACTAGAAAGTCCAAAGAGGGGACCAGATCACAGCTTTTACAGGTGCTGCAGGATGTGATGGAACAAGAGATCGAGCCAGGAGTACAGGACAGGGATTTCTTTGCTGAAAGCTATTGACTTATTATAGTTCAACTTCCACTTCTGACTGCTGTGCAGGACTAAATGTTCCCTCTTACTCGGCTTCTGCCTCCCATGTCCTGCACGCTGCCAGGTTCTCAGGGCCTGGGCCTCTCTGACCATCCGTGAACCTGCACAGGAATCTGGCCTTGTTTTTTTTTCCCTGCTGCCAAGGATGTATGAGCACTTTAGGGTGTTTTGCTGTATTACACTGCTCAAATTTGCTGCTGATACTAGGTTAATTAGGGTGAGTTATTCAGAAGAGTTACAACTATGAAGAATTGCAGAAAGGACTTTACAGAATTGACTGAGATCTGAAATAGTGAGAGTCTGTAAAAAAATGATGCATGTGGCAAAAAAACAAAACAAAACAAAACAAAAAAAAAAACCAAAAAACAACTAGTTTCATGTATAAATTCTTTGGATTGGAGCTGGCTGTTGCAATTCAGGAACAAAATCTTGATTTGTGATAGTTCTGTGAAAACATCAGCTGTGAATACTCAAGAGCAGTCAAGAAAGAAAAGCGGCTGTTAGTCGCTATTAACAGTAGAGAACAAAACGTGGATTTGTACGTTGACATGGCAGCCTTCTCTGACTCTCTGCTTCTTGAACACTGTAGTCCTCATCCACTGTTCTCAACATGGATATAATGAAACTGGATGAGGTTCAGAGTGGCAGGAATAATCAGAGGTACAGAGTAACTTCTGCACAAGGAGCAACTTTAGCATTGCTCCAGTTGGAAAAGGCTCAGTGAGGCCAGATACAATAAAGCTCTTAACATCAGGAGTGCCGAGCATGAAGTAAATATTCTATGCGAGTGGCAGGTTCAAAACAAACAGGGAGAAGTGTTTCAAGCCACACTGAAGTGCTGAACTCCTGCTGCAGGGTATTATGGATAATTTCATGGGTTTGAATAGCAAGTAGACAATAGGGCGAAAATGCTTTGAGAGCTTTTACCTTTTGAGAGGACAAGTGCACACTTCTGGGTCCAGAAACCCCCGGAGCTGCAAATAGCTGGAGGCCAGGAGAGGATAGTCCTGTCAAGGCCTGGCTTTGTGCTTGTGCTGGATGTGCATAGCCCCATGGCCAGGGCTAGGTGGGTCCAGATCGCTCCCTTAGGGCCGTTCCTATGTCACATTAGCATTAGATAAACTTACCCCAGTGTCTCTAGGGGGATTCCTTCCCCGTGAGCAGGGAAGGTGGAGGATGAGAGTGGGGTGGAGCTGGGAGGAGGTGAGGTGATAACAGCAGCAGAAAGGGCAATTAGGAGTTTAGGGGCGTACTAGCCCTTTTGGTATGTCGCTGCAAGATAAGCTGGGTGTTGATGATGACTTTAAACTTAAGAGTAGGGGATAAGAATTTGCAGGATGTGCCCCTGTCAGGGTGGGGGTAGAGGGAGGAGAGCAGCTGCAGGTTGGGTTCAAGCGCAGCAGGGGACCTAGCAGGCATGAGGACAAAGGCAGCCTGCGTTCGGTCGTTGGGATGGTTTGTGTGCACTTTGGCCCGCTTGAACGAAAAAACTCCACGGCTCTTTAAAAAGCTCAAACGTGTGCAGTAGTAGAGGATGCTGCAAGTAGTGCTGACGGATTTTTAACTGTTACTGAATTAACCAAACGGGGAGAGAAGCGCAAGGGAGGTGCTGGAAGAGGGCTGGCGGGGTTGTTCCGCTCTGTTGGAGGGAAGAGGGAGAGCAGTGTTGCTTTCACACTTTCACACACTTTCACAAAAAAAGTTGTATCTCTTGAGTGACACATAAAATGGCTCTAATATGTGGAGGACTTCAGGCTTGTAATCTTTAGGTGTGTTATTTATGTACAATTTCAATTGTAACTTAAACAACAAGAATCTTGCGTTTAACGTGAAATTCCAGTCATGCATGAATTAAAGACTGTTGATGGATTGTATTAATTAAAACGCAGTGTTAAGGTTATTAAATATTTGCTGCCTTGAATTTTAAAAGAAGTCAAAGAACATGACAGAGAAAGCAGTCGGATGATCATCTGGAAGTAGATTTAAAGTGAGAAAGACGTTGACTGTAGCAGTCTCTCCTTCAGAAGGATAATATTTTCTGTCTCTTACTTCAGTGAAATAGCTGTGTCCTTCATAGCTTGGGAGAAAAATGATCAGGCATTGAAAAAACAAGTGAGCTTACGTATCTTTCCAAGCCGTTAATACCAGTGAGGTCCAAGCGGGGACATCTGGTTTTTCTAGAACCTTGAATTGTGAACACAAGAAGTCAACTCAGTTAACTACTTGCAGATAATACTTACTTTGTTTATTCAGTGGATCAGTATGAAATGTGTCTGCACTTTTCCTTTATCGGGATATCTAGAATACTTTTAAAATATGGTTTTATAGATTTTACATCCAAAATTATCTCAAAGTAAATGACGAATAAAAATGTGATAGTAAATAATAAAACACGTAAATTGATATTTTCTAACATGACACAAAAAATTCTCTTAATAAATGAAGTTCTATGACATGCATTACATATACATATAACGTGTCTTTTTAGTTAGCAAAAAAAAAAGGTTGTATGAAATTAGCTAAAACAAGCTGCATTTGCTGTGCATTTGCTTGCTATGTGGTATGGTCGCTGCTGGTTTAAAAAGCACAGAGTATTCCTGTTTGGGGGAGGTGGTAGGGTGGGTGGTACTAACTAACTTACCCATCTGTATTTTTTCTACCATTTGCAAATCGAATAGTTGAGGGTTTTTTCGGGTTTTGTTGCAGCAGTTTGAAAGTGTGATAAAGACTGGGGCATCAATTAAATGTTCTGATAGTAATTCTATATTTGGATTCATGGTGGAATTTGTATTTGTTTAATAGATACCATTTAAAATATTTGTATTTTATATTAATATTTCACTAGCTGTTCTTAAATTTTTGTAAGCAGATGAGATACGTGTATTAAGGTATCCAGAATCCAACTGCAGCTGGAAGAGGTAAAAAGGGATAAGCTTCTAGGTTTGACATGATGAAAAGGTTTATGATCTAGTTCTACAGATCTTCGATACCACTCAGTTGGTAAAATATAGATATTTCTGTTGATAATAGCTGGTGGGTCTACCAAACAGGCAGTGAAAAGGTCCTGACAAACTAGAAGTAACAGAGAAAAAAAGAACTGGAGTGGCAGGGCGATTGATGCGTGATGTATCAGATGGAGCTGTGCACGTAGATAGGAGGGAGCTGGTTTGGGAGTTCCTAGCACTGTGTTAAGAGAATTCCTTTCTATAAATGAACCTCAGGCTTTTGGGAAGGACTTGGACCATCATTTTGGAAAAGGCGGTTCAGAACTGTTGGCTATGAAGGCTGGTGACTTCGACACGGTTACAAATTCTCTCCTCTCAAAAATGAACAAAACCCATAAAGAACCTGGAAACCTGAAAGAATGTTCACCGTGGATGAGTGACTTCAAAGCTGAGTTCTTGAGGAATGAACTAGAGGTTCCTGGTAGGTTCCCCTTCAGTGTCGATGGTGAACTGTCCCTTACAAGACAGCTGCTACTCTTGTGCTCTCCTCTTTATGGTGGCTATATGGCCCTTCTCTCTGCCTGACGCAGAGGTAGATTTCATCTGAAATAACTCTGTCCATACCATATCAGTCTATGTAACTTTTTTCTTTTCCTTTTTCCCACGATCACTTCAGGTCAGTATGATGGAAAAGGGAAACCGCTGCCAGAGTACCACGCAAAAATCTCTGGATTTGATGAACGGGTATGTTTTTGAGTCAAAATCCTGTGTGGTATAAACTTGTGTCCATAGTCCATTTGAAGAATTTGACAATAGCAAGTTGTTGCTTGTGTGCTCGTCTTGCAGCACATAAAGGAAGGTCTGCAAGGGGCATTTGTTTTGCTGGTAGTAATCAAGCAACTTGATCATGCCATCTAGGAATGACAGATATGCTTAATTTCAGCGACGATTCTGTAAAGCCAAGTCTCCTGTCACAAGTACTTTGCTTTTTCCTGTCTTTTTCCAAGATAAGTGTAATGGAATCCTTGAGGAAGCCGAAACGTATAACGATCCGAGGTAGTGACGAGCAGGAGTATCCTTTTCTTGTCAAAGGTGGTGAAGACCTGCGACAAGACCAACGTATCGAGCAGCTGTTTGATGTGATGAACATTATCCTTTCCCAAGATGCTATGTGTAGCCAAAGGAATATGCAGCTAAAAACTTACCAGGTCATCCCCATGACAACAAGGTGAGTATTTATCTTGAAGGGACAGGAATTCTTACCTTAAAACCTATTATATTACTGTTAGGACGTTGGAAAGTGAGATTTCTGTCTGCCAGGTTCTGGTTCAGAGTGGGTTTTGTCTTGGCTTAATTTTTTTGTTTATTTTCCTTTTAAACAACATTGAAATTACTTTGTCTGGAAACTGGTTTTTTTTCAGAATATATTTAAATTGGTAGCTTTCAAACTTCTTTCAGCAGGCTCTAGAATGTGCTGCTTCCTATTTGTGGTGTTCCTCTAAAGTTCAGCTCTGAGATACTTGTTCACATCTCTGACTTCTTTTGTTCCAGACTGGGGCTCATCAAGTGGCTGGAAAATACTTGTACTTTAAAAGAATTCCTTAAGAATAGCATGTCTGAAGAGGAAGACATCAGCTATAACAGGTGACGCTTGGTTTAGCTGTCTGCTCTGACAGAGACCGCTATTAATGCGGTTTTGGTACTGACAGTCTTGTGGCAGCGTTTTCTTTTTTAAAAAAGAATGAAATAAAAGCACCTATAAGCAAGGAGGCAGTTTGTACTTCCTGACCCAAATTAGTAATTGGCAACTGTTTGTTTAATGAGTACCATTGTACCTGGAATATCCTCCACCCAGCTTGTTTAAACAAGACGCTTATAATCATGGGTGACGTCATTATCATCACCCTTTCCTTATCAGCAGATTGATTTTTTACAAGCAAGGGATTTTGATCTCTTGATTTGATCAGACAGGAAATGGATGTAAGTCAGTGGGGGGGGGAAGCAAGCAGAGACAGAGCTATTCAGAACCTGGGTCCAGCAGTGAGTCAGTGATGGGGGAAATTGGCAGCAGATGCACGAAACACAACTGTAAAAGACCACTCTGACTGTGTACAAATGCTGGGTTTGAATAAATTAGCTTGCTTTCCCTTGGTTGTAATTGGAGGATGAGTATTTGTAAAATTGATTTAATTCTAGCATTTCAGCCTGTTTCTGTCCTGGAATTTAGAAATGTGGTTTTATTTACCAGTGTTGTTCTTAGTACGTAATCTCTGTTTGGGTTTGTCAAAGCGCTGTTGTCACCTTTCGTTTTTACTAGTTCTCTTGTTTATGGGGCAGGTTGGAGGAACCTCCAGTGTGGAGGCCTGAACTCCAAAGAGTCTTTGGTTCTACAGTTACTTGATTGGCGAGCAGTTTAGGAACTGCTGCAGCTCCTGCGTTACTGCTGTCTGGTTCGCTTTCGTGAACAGCAGTGCTGTTACCTTGGTCTCAATTCGTTGACTGGGAGAGTGGAGGAGGGTTTAACATGGAACCACCTCGTGAGGGGTGAAAATTTCTAATACACTAAATGTAGAGGATCAGTGTCTTTCTAAAAACACTTGATCATTTATCCCAAAAAATACAATCATAGAATCACTAAGGTTGGAAAAGACCTCTAAGATCAACAACCATCAAATAGCTTTATTTTAATGTTGTATATGGACTTTGAATATTTTCCCTTATGTTCTTCAGTCAAGTCAATTAAGACACTTTATGTTGAGCCACAGTTGAATGACAGCGCTGGCAAAGGCAAATTCTACTGAAATCCTTGCTGGCAATATTTTGGTTGGGGTGGGGGAAGTAACTTTCTGACGTTTTGAAATCCTTTTCTTTATCCCAAAGTGATAAATGATCAATACTTCTTAAATGGGAAGGATCTCTATATCTCACAACATGCTTTGGAAGGAAAAGAGAAGGCAGGTGCTCTGCTAAGTTGCTGCCTCTCTGGAATAGAAGTTTGATGTCTAGTCTATTTAGTTAAGATGGGAGAAAAATAACAAATTATTCTGTAAGCAGTGCAGCTAACAAAGACTGGCTTCTTGTGGATTAATACCTTAAGTCCAAGCCCCCATTCCTCCCTTCTTGTCCGCACTGAGGAGGTAACAGACTGCCTTCCTGCAGTCCCTACTTGTTTGGATGGACAGATGGCAGCACGGACAGTGGTAGGCTACATAATGCCTCTCAAATGGATCCAAGACTGCGTTAAAAATATTTTTCCCTCCCTGGAGAAATTATTTTGGGTCTTCTCAAGGCAGCATCTGATTTTCACAGTACTTACTGACAGATTAACGCCTTTGAGATGTCTTAATCTTCTGTCAAATATGACTGAGGTGCATTCAGAGCTGGGGGGAAGGAGATGGGTGGATCAGCATGTGCACTGACTCCATAAACTTCATTTCCATAGCAAGGCTAAAATTAATGTAGGCTGTAGCTTCCTGACTCCTCCTATGCATAAAAATCTCGTGGGTCATAGCAGCACACAGCCTGTGGATATTCAAGTACAGAGTGGTAAGATAATATAGGGAAATAATCCTTGCTTTTTTTTTTTCTTTTGGTCCCTAGTAAAAAAGGACCTCGTGCTGCCTATTCTGAGTGGCTGTCCAAGATGGGGGGGAAAGCACAAGGCATCTCTCGGTACCATGTTATGTACAGGTAGGTTTTAAGAGAGAACTGCATGTGAAATACAGAAACAAGAGTGTGCACACACAGAGTTGTGGAAATTCCAGGAGAAATATGATCTGCATTATAATATACTGGCTAGATCTGATTTTTCCCCATTTTACTGCTTTGTCTTGCTGGAGATGCTCTGCAGGAAGGGTTTAGTGCTGCCAAAATCCTGCCAGAGCACAGGAATGCTTCCAGAAGCTTGCTCGCTTCCTTGAGAAAGTGCCTAGAAGCAGATGCTCCTCTTCAACTTTATTTTCTAGGTGACTTGTTCCTGATTGTGCAGTTAGGTAGGCTGCCTGAGAGCCAGGGCACCTGCTGAAGTTGGACAGAGAAAATCGCAGTGATTTGCTGAGAGTTTAAGAATATTTGATGGTTTGGGTCCCAACTTGAGCATCTTCTCGGAGGAATTTCCACACCTGCCTAGATCTAGCACTGTAGGGTAGGGGGAAGTGAAGTTTGCAGTGGAGCATTTCTGATGAGCTCATAACCTGCTTAAGCAAGCATCTTGCTTTTAAATTGAAAACTTTAACTCGTTTAGCTGAGTGTGTCTACATTAATACTTGTATTCAGATCCAGAACGTGCTTTTGAGGTAAATTCCCCGTCACCCCGACTCACCTCACGCTGGCTTGCATCGCAGAGCTGTCCCCTAGTACACAACTCTGCTCCTTTCGGACAAAACTGGGCTGGAAGGAGAGCGCCCAGCCCCTTCCAGCTGCTCACGAGCGTTCAGTTCCCAGGACCAGACATGGGCTAGGCCAGAGCAGTCGCCCTCCCTCCCCAAATGTGTACAGCGTGGATGTCCTCAGCACCAGCCGTTTAGTTCTGTTGCCTCCCCTGGTGCTGCACTACTTTCTAGTGTCAACGTAGCCTCCCCGTGCTGCTGAGAGATTGGATTTGGGCCTTAGTTCCTCTGCTTGGAAGAGACAACGCAGCCAGAAAGAGCTGGATTGCTGTATTAAAACTTAACCCATCTACTTAACCAGACAAAACTACGTGCTGTTTTGTGTTCAGAAATGTCAGTCTTGGAAATAACCGTTGGGAGAAAAAAAGGGGAGGGGCTGTTCTTAATAGCAGATCAAAAATTTGGGGCAAACCCTCTGTGTGGCTTCGTTTATTGGGGTGAGCCAAGCGTGCCAGCGCGGTCACGTGCACACCTTAACGTCTCGCATCCAGGGGGCCGTTATTTCAGTAGCTGGCGTTGTTCCTTCCTTCACGTGCAGGACTGCCAGCCGTACAGAAACGGTGATGTCCTTCAGAAGCAGGGAGAGCAGCGTTCCTGAAGACCTGCTGCGGTAAGCGCGCTGGTTGGGGCCGCGCCGCGCGAAACCAACGCCGGTGTCTTACCCGCCTGCCACGCGTGTCTCCTGTTGTGTTCAGGCGAGCCTTCGTGAGGATGAGCACGTCTCCTGAAGCCTTCCTCTCCCTGCGGTCCCATTTTGCCAGCTCTCATGCGCTCATGTGCATCAGCCACTGGATACTCGGTATCGGAGACCGGCACCTGTCCAACTTCATGGTTAACAAGGAGACGGGTGGCGTGGTGGGCATAGACTTCGGGTGCGCCTTTGGCTCAGCTACGCAGGTATTGGCCTTCCAATTAATTTGCTAACGGCTTTTGCATTCATTCTGTGCGACTACACGTGTATTCTCGGTGCTAAATTTGATGCTCCTCGTTGGCCATCGTTCTGATGCCAAAGAATCTTTGCAAGTTATTTTTAGTTAATAGAAAATAGTTGAAATCTCTTGTTTCCAGATATTCTCAGACAAGCAGGGAGCTCTAGAGTCTCACAGAGGCTTATCTGGTGGTGGTTTGATAGTTTAGCCACGCTTTCAGCCACTATCACTAGATATTCATGGCTAGAGCTTTGATGTCACAGCTTGGTCCTGGCCTACCGCGTTGCGTGTTACTTTCAGTTAAGTGACAGAGAGGGTTTCAAAGCTTAGAAAGAACAAAACATTCATTTCTGATCCTTCTAAGGCTTCTTAATTCTTGTTTTCTTGTGACTGTCCTTCCCCTCGGCTAGTTTTTGGGCGTGCCAGAGTTGATGCCTTTTCGCCTGACGCGCCAGTTTGTTAATCTGATGATGCCAGTGAGAGAGTGGGGTCTCCTTTACAGCGTGATGGTGCACGCCCTGAGGGCTTATCGTGCGGATCCAGATCTCCTCATCAGCACAATGGATGTGTTTGTGAAAGAGCCTTCTTTGGACTGGAAGGTGGGATTTTTCCTCTTTCCTCCTTCTGTGTGTGAAGAATTCTTAAACTGTAATAAGGATAAAACTGATCAAAAATGAAGTATTTCTCGATGCTCGCTCTCAGTGCTCCTTTTGTCTCTCTGTGTTTTATTGAGTTCTCGGAGAAACTGAACTTAAAGGATTTAAAATGACAGAGTTCCGTATTGATGGACAAAGAATAGTAGCACATGTCTGTTATCGGTGTAGTGTTCTTTATCTGCATGATAATCCTAAAAAACTTGGGTATCTCTTGATCATGTTATGTCACTTATGGCAGCAGCATAAGTATTTCCAACTTTCTGCATCGAGCCTCTTAAATTTACAGAGCGACACTGCATATATCAAACTAATAATTACAGAGAAAAAAATCCGAAACCAGTTGCACTTCAGTTGTAAATTACATTTTAAGTCGCAGGCAGGCTGGATACCTCACTACTGTGCCCTCCATCACATCTGCGGTTAAAGAGTTACTGGCTTGACTTCTGCGATCTGGTGGCTTAAAAAGTCTTTTTAAGTACGTGATTTATGGTAAAGAGGGCAAATGTGTTTTCTCTTTAGAACTTTGAACAAAGACAGCTGAAAAAAGGAGGCACGTGGACTAAGGAAATCAACACCTCCGAAGTGAACTGGTACCCTTTGCAGAAAGTCAGCTGTGTCAGGAGAAAGCTTACAGGTGCCAACCCAGCAGCCATCACTTGGTAAGATGCTCTCCCTTTGCTTTGAACCACTCCGCTAAGAGCTTTGGCAGCCTCCTGTGTCGGATGCTGCTCCCTTCGGATAGAACAGGAAAAGAGGAGAGGCAGGCAGGGCAAAACTCCAACAAACAGCCTGTCGGAACCGTTCTGGGCCACGTACAAGCGCTTCGAGTCGCCCTGCCAGCCAAAACACCCGCTCTCTCCCCGTGAGTGTGTGTATCTCCCCGTGAGTGTGTCTCCCCGTGAGCGTTCTTGCTCCAGCTCAGGCCTCCTGAGCAGTTTTGCACATCCCCACCCCGTCAGCCTGCCTCGCTGCTCACTCCTCAGGCCGCTGTTCTTCACGTTCGTCCCCACAGTTTTTAGGCTAGGGGTGGTACTTAAATCAACGTGCTTCTGCTGGACATGGAACCTGAACCAGCTGTATGGGAGGCACGGAGGTAAGCTGCTTCCCAAAAACATCAAATCCAAATCTGATGGCATTCTCAGGTTATTTATGTCAGTCTACTCAAGTCTGGCTCAAGCCAGAATGTCTTTAAAGTTCAGCTAAAGTACAATTAATCCCTTCCATCCTCTTTTAAAAAGACATTTTGGATTAATCAAGAAGAGGGAAAAAAAAAAGGCAAAGAAAAGCAAGTCTGTGTTAAAACTATACAAATACTGAGAAGTGCAGGACTTGGGAGGAGGCCCTTTTGCGGTCGAGGCTGAACTGGAGAAGGCAGCAAAATACTTCTTGCAGACGCAGATCATGAGGGCAGATAAGGAGATCACAGCTTGGATGTGGACTGCTGCATCCTTCTTTCAGTTGGAGACCTTTGACAAGATTGAAGTGTTCATGGTAAATATTCGCTAGTAAAGGACAGCTGACATCACCAGTCTCCACTGGCCAAGCCTTCTACAGCTGTTGAACAGTCTCCACATCTTGAAAAATAAAATCTGCAGGAATCGTGTTCAAGTACTGTTTCGTGTTTAAAAACACAACTCGGGTTTCTTCGCTTGTTTCTTTTACCAAGAGCTTGTTTCTGCGTTCTCGATTTTAGTGATGAGCTACGCCTGGGCCACGAGAAGTCGCCTTCTTATCGTGATTTTGCCGCTGTGGCTCGTGGCAGTGCTGATCATAACATCAGAGCCAAAGAGCCGGAGGACGGGCTCTCAGAAGAGACCCAAGTGAGATGCCTGATCGATCAAGCGACCGACCCCAACGTTCTTGGCAGAGTCTGGGAAGGATGGGAGCCCTGGATGTGAGGGACTGCTCTCTAAAGCCCAGTCTGCCCAGGGACCCGTACCCTACACACAGCTGCAACCGGATCAGAATTTTAAGGCCAAAAAGGAAAAAAAAAAAGCTCTTAATCACTTTTATCATCATCGGTTAACTTGACTAATATGGAAAATAATTTTTTTTTGTATTAAAGCTGTATTCAAACAGGTTTGTTTTTTTAATTATTTTTCTTCTAAGTGGTTCTGTAACAAAGCAGCTTTATTGTCTTTGTGTTAGAATCAATGTAGAAAGAACTGGAGAGGCTGCAGAGCTTAAAGGCTTACCTGAACTGAAAGGCCCTGAGATCAGGCAGAGGAAAGCACAGATTCACGCCCTGCGAACTTGCAGGCGTCCTCGTAGTGAAACTCTGTGCTTTTGTAACCTACAGGCACTTGATGACAATCAACCGAAACCATTCTGCAGGTATAGGTTATTTGTAGTTAAAACTGGAGGATTTTTGTATCGATAGAAACAGTGTGGCCCGTGGTAAAATTGAACAGAAAACGACTTTTAGCTCTAGATCACACCTGGAGTATCTGAACGGTTATGTCATTACTGGGTGATGAGGTAGCGGTGATGAGACCCTTCCAGCAGCTTGTTTTTTAAGGTGGAGGTTATATACACTGTGTTACCCCTGTCTTTTAGAGTCTACGCTCCTCGTCTGGTGTGAATTCCAGGTTATTTGGCCAAAGCCAAAAGCTGCCGCCGCCGAGGGCCGCGGTGCCGCCCCGCGCAGGGCTGACTGCTGCACCCTGGGCTTGCTGGCGCCGCCGTGGGGAAGCTGTGCCCGATGGGGCTCTTCCTCACCCCCAGGTTCCCTGGGGCAAGCGCAGCGCAGGCGCCGGGGGGAAGGAGGGTCCCCTGCACTGTCACTGCTGTTGGTTACCCAGAATTCAGCGTAGGAGGGAGTTTCCATTGAAGGTTTTAGTAATTATCATAAAAGGGGTAATAAAAGTGAGTCTTTGCCCTTTCACTGCCTCCAGGCTTTCCCTCCTGCCTCCGTGGCGATGGGGCAGTCCCGCTTCTGCTGCGGGCTGGTCTCCCCTGGCACCAGTCTCAAATCTTTCAGCGGGAGAGCAGGGGCGTCTGCCTCCTGGAGACAGCTCCCTGAGAACCTCAGGGTGGGGAAGATTCCTCCCTGAGGCCTAATGGACCGGGAGGGAGCTTTTTTGTTTCATACACTTTCCAGCAACAATTACTATTTATTTGTTACCTTCCTTCTTGCTAAATACACTCAATTCTTTATGTCGATAGTGTTACGAATCAAGAACTTCAGAGCCTCTTTATCAGATTTTATTATTTACAAGTACTGTTCTGCTGTATTTTTGTAGAGGAAACTTCTATTTAAAAAATAAAAATAAACTTTCAGTTGTACACCTCGTTTTTCAAAAGTTAATTCAGGGCACTTTAATCACAGAAAACGTCCACGTTTACCCATTTATACAGATGATAATGAATGGACAGCGTTTTTTTCATAACAGTGTGTGATACAGTCTACTTTTATGTACACTGACGTAAGATGTCGTGGTGCATTTTGTTCTTTTAATCTCTGTTATCAATAAAGATGGTGGCACTATGACTAAAGAGGGGTTAGGAGAGGCACTCTGCTTTCACGTTGCCACTGTGCAAATACAAGAAAGTTTAAAGCACAATAAAAAGCCACATGAAAGGAGGAGGGGGGGGACATTTGGGAACCGAGCGGCCGATCGTACGAGGTGTTGAACGGCACTTTTGGCACATACCTCAGATATTCGGTCGGTACTTTGACCGGCTCGACAGAGGACAAAGTTTAGGTTTATAGTTTAACGAGGCTCCTCCCGTAGGCCTGCCGCTGCCTTCAGCAGCCCTCTTTCCCCACCCCCAGCCCGGCCTCCCGCGGCCTTTTGCAAGGAGCGGGAGCGGGGCCCGGCTCTTCCAGGGGAGGGGGGCTGTGGCGAGCCCTGCCCCGTGCCCTCCTCTGCCTTCACTCCGTACCCAAAGTCCCTCAGGCCAGGGGTGAAAGCCTTTGAGATAGGTGAGAGTAGCCCTGGCAATACCAAAGAGCTTAGACCACGTCCATGACGCTTAAAATAGTTAAAAGCTCGGGTTTGGCCCCAAAATAAGTGCTCTCGTGTGAAGCCTCAGCTACGCCAGTCCTACTAGTGATGTATTCGTCAGGCTCAAGAGCCGGCCGAGGAGCGAAGCTGCCGGGGTTTCGTGAGCAGAAGCACATCCCGAGCGGAGCGTCCCCCGTGCAGCTGAACGAGCCTGACCATAACCCCCAACGTACGTCAACGGCAGCTGCTGTCCGACCCCGGCCGAAGGGGGCGGCTCCCCCTAAAACGGAGCACTGGCAGGGAAAGGCTGGAGCCCGCCCGTGAAGCCCCGAGAACCTCAAGGCGCTGGGCTCGGTGTTTTACGGGGTGGGTTGGTTCGGCTTCCAGAAAAGAGGGAGGTGATGTGCTGCTCGGAGTCGGGAGACTGCTTCAGGTCTCACGATGCAGAACACAACTCAGCAACTATCCGCGAGTGTGGCAGAGTATTTCCTTCTCAGATTAAATAACCAGATGGGCCCCATAGCTGGAAATTCATTAGTTGCACCTACAAAGCTATGTAAACCCTTACCATATATTCTCAGCAGGTTTTTCTTAGTGTATAGAATAATATTAATGTTTCAGCTAATCCTTACCGTCCCTGTCAGTCTCACAATTTGCCTCTGACACACACTGCTGGACACAGAGGAAAGCTCTGCAGCCACAACCTGCAGTCTCCCAGCTGATAAAGAGGTCCCTGCACGCTGCTCATCATGCTCTGGATGTTCCCTTAGACCCCACCACCACCCCCCAGTTTAAATGTTATCTTGAGGTGTCCGTGGCTGAGATGTGGTACAGCACCAGCACGCGTTTGGAGCTCTCACAAGGACAATGAGTTATGAGTTAGGCTCGTCTTCTGCCGTGGAGTAAGTTTCCTACAGCTCTTCTGGCCTCACACTGAAGGTTTGGCCAGCTGCTTCCCGAAGTCAGGAAAGAAAGTGTCTGCATTTACAGGCACTGTGCCCCAAACTTCACGTTTTTCAATATCAAGGAGATAAAATAAGGGTTTATCATCACTGCTTTAATACTTTTTTTTTTTCTTTTCACCTCACAAGCCCTGAGGATGAGGGTCTGCTGAGCCACTTTATTCACACCATGTGCCTCATTTGGAAATGACCTGGGGTTTAAAAATTTCATTTCGAAGCGATGCTGCTTGTAAGAAGTGGCACCCGCTCAGAAAGGTCACACGCTGGCAGCCACCCACAGCACCGAATGGTGTCACTGGTCTTCTAGCAAAGCCACCAGAGCTGCATCTAATGTTAAACCAACGGTGTCCAGAATAGGGTGTTTAGGGGAGTTGTGTTGCAAAAGGTTTTGGGAAGGAATGGCTGTAAGCAACTGGAAAAGATTTGGTTACAGTTTCCACATTATTTACAGGGGGTTTTGTTTGCTTAGTTGTTTTTCTTTTTTTCCTTTTTGATGGGAGAGGAGAGGGTAACACTCGCTCTGTCCATTAAACTCACAGTAAATGGTACTGTGCAAGACTTCATCTGGTCAGGCAGAGGACGTAGCTGTGAATTTGAGCTCACGGAGCTCATCCCTGCTGGAAACTCACGTAAAACCTGTATTGGGAAAAGGCTCAGAGCATCCACCAAAGAGCGCGAGAAAACGAGGGGCGCGGGGTCCGAGGCATTTCGCTGCTGCTGCACTTGGCCTTTCGGGAGCCCGGGTAGGTGGGAGGGTGCAGCTGGACAAACCCAGCCCGGGCTGGCACCGCCAGGGCTCACCCACCCGCAGGGAGTCAGAGCACAGGGTTTAAGGGAGCTAAAAAGACTAAAAAGCTCATTTACCAGCAAGTTCTTCAGCCACAAACAGCGGGGTGGCCGCTGGCTGGATCAGCGCGATGGACTGACCCGAGTGAGCACCAGTGATGAGCAAAACACTGTTACAGCGATTCCAGACAAGGGAGAGGGATGAGGGGCCAAAGGGGTGGGGAGGGTCCGTCCAGCAGTCCCTGTGCTGGCTTACCAGAACCAACGCCGCCCTCAAGGAGGTACTGTCCCTCCCTCGGAGTGTGTGGGCAGGTGTTGTTTTTGCCTCTCCCCAAACCACTTGCATCTCCTCATCCGCATGTCCCATTCCCCAGGCAGCCCCCAAGCGCCCGTCCTGGCTTCCAGCTGTCGAATGAAATGCTCATCACACCCCTGCTTCTTCCTGGGGGGAGGAGGAGAAAACCGAGAAAACCAGGCAACCCACCCCTTCATCTTTCCCCCCTTGTCAGCCGGCTCTTCGTCATCATCCAGCCAGCCTTTCCCTGTGAAACCCAGTGCCCTGAGGTGCTTCCCCTGGACAAGGTCTCCCTCCCGCAGTCCTGCTCTGCAGCTGCCTTACCCCAGCCACAAATCCCCCCCAGGGGCCGCCTCAGCCCCGTTGCACCCCAAAGCAGAGAAGGGCTTTGCAGGACCAGCCCAGCCCAGCTGGGCTCCCAGCCCCGCTGTCCCCAAAAAGTCCTGCACATCTGGCTGGGTTACCAGAAGCGAGCACGCCAGGACGAGGACGGGGAGGATGAAACCCAGGCTGAAGCACGTCCCGTTTCCTCACCTTCCCTGAGTGGCCTGGCTGCTATTTGAGGAAAAAAAAAACTAGTCAGAAAACAGAGTGTGATGTAATTCCTGTCCCTGAAGGGCTCAGGGTCCTGGTGCTTCTCTGGAATTCACAGCTGGCACTTCAGGGTAATTCAGGTTTTTCTTTTCTCTGCGAAGGTTTTTTAGAGAAAGGCTTCTTGTCCTTCCTCAGCGGTTTAAATGCCCCTCTTTTTGCTTGATTTGGAGCAGAAACCTCCAACAGGTTTTAAAGAAATTATTCTGAAATTCAGATGCTAAAAGTGTTTCTTACTGCTGTTTAAACTTACCGGATCCCAGAGACAAGCCACGATTCGGTGGGTCAGGTACTCAGCAGGATGGGTGAGGGAATCA